ATAACACCATGAACTGTATGTTGTTAAGTGCTTCTGTGAGAACCACTATGCGTATAGATAAGCAGGGGCACAGCCAGAGCCTTGGCAATTGAGGCACATTGTTGACAAAGGGCTCCCTGATAGTAAAAGACCCCCCCCCCAAAAAAAAAGCCGGATGTGGCTCATTTGTTATTGAGGAGATGTTTTTCTTGTATTATATATATATATATATATATATATATATATATATATATATATATATATGCATATATGTACATGTATATCACACATTCTTGCCCTTTTAAACTGGAATATAGGCCAGACGCTACCGCGAGATTAATTCTGCCTTAAATTTATGGTAAATAACCTGACAAAATGACGCCTTAAACGACTGCATGAAACTAAATCGCCGGCCCCCTTCATTTCACAGTGGTATAGTGGACTCTTTTTGAACTGGTGGAACTCAGAAACTTTGTCAGAATTTTTATCTGGGTTGTACAGAAATAGCAATGCTTCGGCGAATATAGATTGAAAGTCAAAATGGGTCAACAATTTGAATTAACATGGCCAGTCAATTTTCGTCTGGATATCTTTAACATCCAGTCATACTTGATAAATGACACAAATTACGTAGCGCAGTTTTGAGCATGCGAGCTCGCATATCTTAAAAATAAAAAACTCGACGCCAGGTGTTGCAGTCTCCATAGGCCGCGCAGCACCAGCTCCGCGGCTTATACTTGGCTGCGGCCAACAGGTGGACGAAGAAAGTGACGCGAAGTAGTGCTGGAACCTGGTTGTGGAACAGAAGTAGTAAATACAAAATTTATGTTTGTCATGTTCGTGTAATTGCTAATCTGTCCAGAGGACAGTCTCAAAGTTTGAAAAGAGATTCACCCGGTGAAATCTTTGAGCTGCACGAATTAATTTAGAAAACCATTAACGCACCAGAAACATTATTCTACGATGGTCATCGTTGCGCGCTCGGCGCCCGCCCCCCTGGCGTTACTTGCAATGGCCAGTGCCGTGCGGTTTTACGAAAACTGCGACCCAAGCCATCGCTACCCTTTCCCCCTTGAGATTACGGGCGTGTCATTGGGGCTTTATGACGCACTCAGCTGTTGGGGCCATATGGCGCCGCAAGCCTCTCACCCTGGCGGGAAGGGCGGAACACAATCGGGAATCAAACCCCGTACCCGTGGTTCCCAGACGCGCAGTTGGTAACACAGGTGCCTTAACTGCCTAACCTATCGGCATTCGGCGCGTAGGCTCAAAGATTTTGATGGTACTTGTTTCACTAATCGATTCTGAAAAAATAATGAAAGTCCTCAAGGAAACATGAGATGACCTTGTACGTTTGAACTCGTTTCAACCACTACATTCAGCACTAATGAGACCCTTTATTGCTTTCCGGGAGAGGGGCCCCCTTAAGCACAACACCATGGTGCACACTGTTGTTCCCGGTCAAGAGCTCATAGCCATTCTGTCCCACCGCGGTGTGTTTTCCGGCTGTCATTCTGGCGACACGGGGCGGCATCATGACCGATCCGGAGGACCCTTAGATGGATACATGATGGCACACTGGTCCGCTCCTGACGTGAGAGGCCTTCTGACTCGCCGTAGTTGACCCCGGATCAGCGCATGGACCGTCACTATTGCAACGACATCCCTGCTTACCGCAGGTAGCAAAATATTTGGCACAAAGACTCCAGTTAGTCCTAACGGACCCATGCTGGAAAAGAGCTGGAGGGCCAACCGTTCGGGACTGAGGCCCGGACTGGCACAGGTCAGTCAGGAGATTTTACCTCAATGTGAGCACTGATCATAATCTCTTGTTTCCTTCCATTGTCAGAGGGCCCCACCAACACAATAGGCCCTGTGCCATTCGGGCTCCCGTCCCCGCCCCTGTTGAACAAATCTTCCTCCAACCGATTCGAGGCCCCTTGTTGACATAGCATGCCCTGTTTGGCACTGTGGGCCCTGAACGATACAGGAACCCGACCAATGTAAATCGCGGTATGGCTTTGTCTCTGCTTGGAAAATAGACCTACAGAACTTAGAACAACACGGAGCTAACTATTCGTTGTTCGTGAACTCTGGCCGAAGCAGAGGAACGCTCTGTCCCAAGGGTTCCTATCGGCGCAAGAAATCCTCTCACTGACATTTGAGATCACGGCCCTATGGGCGGCTCTGCGGCCCCTAACCGACACAGGGTGTTCGTGGTCGCTGACCGGACTCAAGTCCCCGCATTGTCCCAGTGGATTCCTAAAAACGGTGCAAGAGGACCTCTGACCGATATTTTCGGGTCACGACCCTACGGGCCACGATCCTTGATGTGGCTCACAGCCAGTCCTTCGGGCCCTTAAATCCTTCAACCGGGCCTTTGCCGGTTCCAGTTGGCCGCCCGGGCCCCTCTTTGGGCCTCATCAAGCATTCCCCTTGGTCGGTTCGGGGCCCTTGCGAGCACAGGGCCCTCTGTTAGGCGCTGTGAGGACAGATACAAGGTTCTGACCAGTGTCAATCACTGGCCTCGGCTTTATAAATGCTTGGGAAATGGGCTCTCAGGCCCATACCGACACGGAGCTGAATATGCGGTACGGAGGTACCTGACCAACATATAAGCCCATATCGACTCAGGGGGTGCCCAATCGGCGCAAATGGCCCTCTGACCTGTTATTTGAGGGTCCATCTTCGCAGATCTGGACCCCTCAATAAGACGCCGATCAGCCTTGCATGTCCGTTAGACCTCCAATCGAGCCCTTGATCGTCGGAACCGGTGGGCCCTCTAGACTCCTCGAGCCTCCTCGAACACTGCCTCTGGTCGAATCGGGCTCCTTGACAACACAGGGCCCCTGTTAGGGGCTGTGCGGCCCGAGCAATGTAAATCGCTGGCTCCGGCCTTGTCCCTGCTTAAGAAATGGGCCATTAGGCCCATGCGGCCGCGGACCCGACTGTGCGTTACTGGTGGCGTCTGACCCAAATATTTTTATATTGACTCATATATATATATATATATATATATATATATATATATATATATATATATATATATAGGTTCTTTGCCGAACATAACGAACGCGACTTGACGTGAGTGACATTCAATTGCGAACGAGACCTGTCCCATTAGCTTGGGATCTGACAGCCTTGGATCAAACTGCTCCCAGTGACAACGAATCCTTTGAGCGGTTTTGGATGCCAACGGGATTCGTTTCCTTGCTTCTTCTCATTCAACGGCTCGATGCTTATGTCAGATTTTGTGGATCGGGGATGTAGCTGAACCATCTTGCGGCGCCTATTTAACACTTTTACTGCACTTTCCAGTAAGGAGGATGGGAGTGAGGGCGGGAGAACCATGGGGGCAGCTTTCTCTGTCTCCCTCCTTCGCTTTCACCGTCCGAGCTTACTTCCTCTGGATGTCACTTTGGATGTTGTTGTCGAACAATTTTTTTTACAGCCCGGTGTATCACGTCCTGTGCAAAGCGCTGTGCCTGTCAGTTTAATTACTTATCGTTATTATACACGGAAAATTGTTGGTGCTTTGGGTTTTTGGACAAGCACATGCGTGTAAACATTACTGTAAGGTTCCCCTCGCACACCTACGCATCGGTGGCATGAGCCAACGCATAGTCACCCAACTTTGTGATGCTTCCAAATGTATGGCTTGTTTCTGCGCGACCCAAGCAGGGAGGTGATCTTGCTGATGACGCCGGAGGCCACTAAAAGGCCACAACGCATCTTTGCAGCGCTTTCAAAGCCATACAATGCGGAATGGTAACGCTGGCATGCATGATTAACAAAACGAGCCCGGCCTTTTATAACATGGCGTGCAAATGAATCGATGTAAAGTTCAAACGAGGACCAGTGCTCGGTTATCAGTTGGTTGCCTTTGTGCTTTTTCATCATCAGCATCCCGCACATTTCAAGCAAATCATGTCTCAAAGTATGTGCTGTATTTAGGACTACATTACCACTGCCGCAATGCTTTCATACTAAACAGTTCGAGTCAGATCAACAGTTCACAGTTTGTCGAAGAATCTGTAATGAGACATCTCCAGAAGGGCCAAGCACTGCTGACTGAGTCAGATCAACAATTCACAGTTTGTCGAAGGATCACTAGTGTGACATCTCCAGAAGCGCCAAGCACTGCTGACTGAGTCGGATCAACAATTCACAGTTTGTCGAAGAATCTGTACTGAGACATCACCATAAGCGTCAAGTACTGCTAAATAAGTTATCTACATAAATAATACCCATAATCGTCCTCGATCTGCGATCTTACATGTCGGCGCATGCGCCATTCACGCCGATCGGCGTCCTGCCGGCTGTGATCCCGTTTTTCATTGTTGCTCACACTACAAACTAAACATCGCTTCGACGGCTTGATAACCGCTCAACGCGCATCGCCACGAACACGACAAATGGTAACCCTGCGGACTTAAACCAAGCCTTCCACCAGCGCAAGGCGCCCGTAGATCAGTTCGGATATCGGGCCGTCAGCGCGCGCGTGCACTCCTCACGCTCGTATGTGCGTGCTGCTCAGGCTCTTACTGCCCTGTTTAACCCGCCACGGGCCAACTAGCAGACAACAACCAAACATGCAAACAGACGCACCTTTTCGGAGATGTAGATGGTCTTTGGTGTAACATGCCTCTTTGAATAGGGGATCAGTGCGGAAATGCTGCGTACCTCCACATTATAGCCAACCTAGCTACATGGGAATTGCGATTTGTGGCTCTCGCAACAGTATGACGAGCGTTGTTACGTGGGGACTGAGGTGCAAGGCTCCCTGACAGTGACGGGCGTCGTTATGTGGGGACTGCGGCGTGTGACTCTCGTGACAGTGTGAGGGAGGTACCTGTCGTCCGCTGGCTGCCACGCTCCGTCAACCGAAGGTGAGAAGAATACCACAGCCTGTACCGCGGCCACTTTCACGCCCGGCGTGCGGGGCCCGCGACGGGATCCTGGGCCCGCCCGCATCTTCAGTTACGGATCAGACCGGGCAGCGACTGCCTCAAACCACAATCAACTGTAGTCATTTATTGTGGAAGGCGAAACGAAAATCGACTAATCGCATAATTGTACAAAGTTGAAGGCACTGTGCAAGACGGAATAACTGAAATTAAATATCTAGATGCCTCTAGCAATCTTCAGGTATTTGGTACTCATGGACATCGCAGACACACGCCAGCCACAGCTGCAACACCAGCATATGATCATCCATTCAACATCAAATGGAAATCGGCACTTGCGGTGCAAACCCAAAATAATGCGCTTATGCAAGCAATTCTATTCAAGCCGGAAACGACGATAAAACATAGCTTAACGCGCGTAAACTAGAGCGTAACATTAAATAGCACGTTCATCTCCATGCTTTGCCTCCACAGCTGAGTAACTAAACGTTGAGGACAATCACTCCCTCCAGCACTGATTTGCACTTTCGAATACACGTGCGGGCGGCGCTGCCGACTCCCGTTTGCGCATGCGCGTTGGCGCCGGGACTGCCTACACTTGGGCCGGCTGCTTGTCCTTTTTGTTCCTGCGCAGGAACCCGAACACAGAGCCGCGCTTGGCGATGCGCCGATCCTCGTGCTCGCTACCGCTCTCGCTGCCATTCCTGGTGCGGGGTGAGCACGGTCAATGAGCACGGAGCACGGTGAGCACGGAGCACAATCCCGTCACCGCCGGCGGAACCGCCGGCTCGGACAACAGGACAGACAGCGCTGACCAGCGCCAGACACGGCTGCACCAAGCTTACCGCGACGAACCGTGGCGCAGAGTGCGCATACGTGGGTGACAAGCTCTCGGCGGCTTCGGTAGCTTTCAGTCCCACAAAGAACGCCGGAACCCTCACCGACGTTTCGTCGCGACGCACCAACGCCCAAACCTGAGATCAAACACTGAGAACGAACACGTCATGTTTGCGGGCGGCGTTGCGGCCCGTGACTTTCGTGCATGACTAGCACCCGACACGCCATGGATCCGCTGGCACTCGGAGCCCACGAGCGCCGGCGCCGCGCGGCTCCGGCGGGCTGGCTCACCTCTGGTCCATGGTGGCCGACCTATTGCTGCCGGACGGCGAGGGCTGCTGGCCGTAGGGTAGCGAGGCCGTCCGGCCGGCGTACGGCGCCGGCGCTGGACCCGTCGCCAGCGTGGTCTCGCCCGGCGCCTGACGTGACCTCGGGTCACCCCCTGCGGAGGAGCGGGCCGGCTCAGGCTCGGCACAGCTCGTTCGCCGTCTGGGCACGTGACCTCGCTAGGCACGCGCAGGAGACATGGATGACGCTGACCACGCCTAACAAGGGCTCCAGTGACGGTGGCTGGACTTATTTGAAACGATTACCTGCATATGTCGGCTGCACTGCACGGAAGGAAAGCAGATGCCTCCCACACAGAGAAGGAGGCAAAGTCTTCTGGGTCACCAACGTCCGCAACCGCACAAAGAGCACGCCCAGGGAGGGACCAGCAAGCTCCACCCGCGCCCAGCGCAACACGGTGGCAAAACCGTGTTAAACACAAACACGCACGCTCACATCCTCGTCGGCCTTGGGAAGAAATCCTGATCCAGGTTCGTTTACGGGATTAAAATAGAGGGATAACCGCTTCCCGTCCGAGAGATACAAAATACCACCCATCCAGACAGGAATGGTCCTGTATCTCTCCCAGCAGCGGGCCCATCGAGCATGGCGCCTACCTGCCCACAGCTGGGCGTCTACGTCTGTCCCGAGGAGGGGTACCAGCCCGGGGCGGCTCGCTGGTCGGATCTGGTGAAGCGGATCAGGACATCCGTGTGACCCATCCCGGCGCGGAGGGGGCCCAGCCGCGGCGGACGGCGGCGAGCCAGCCTACCTCCGTCGACGGCTGACAGGCCGTGCAGTCGGTGGGTGGCCGACGGCGGCGGCGCCGAGCTGGGCAGCGGCGGAGGCGCAGACTCTAGCGGGCGTACAAACACGGCGCCATCAGCACTGGGCGGCCACGGCGGACAGGCCGGCCACGGCGGACCGGCCGGCCGGACGGCGGCGCCGGATAGCAGTCGCCGAACGGCCCGTCACGCGGCGACGCGCGGCAGACGAGCAAACGAAGTCGGCGGGCCTCCGTACACTTTCGGAGAACATGAAGCAAGCAACGCAACTACACTGTTTCCGTCGTGGCGGCGTCCACGATGAAGGCAGTCTTCGCTGGCAGTGTTTCGGCACCGCCTAAAGCAATGGCCAGGGCGACACTACGGAAGCGGCGCAGCACTACTCGCCGACAGGCAGGCATCGGCGCTGGCACCCAGTGACGTCACACACCAGTGACATCGCACACCAGTGACGTCACAGCTTCCGTCTGCGTGTGAGGCAGGGCAGAATCGGACCCGGTCGGGGACCGATCCGCCGCGTGGGTCAGCGCGTGACGCACCGCTGACGTGGGAGCGCGGGTCGGACACGCGGCGGTACGTACCGTCCCCGTGGGGGTGGCGCGAGTCGGAGGAGTGCCGGCGGATGCCGTTCCTCTCCTCGCGCCCGTGCATTTCCTCCTCTGGTGGCATAGACCGAACAGCGGGGTCAGCCGTCACGGACCGGCACAATGTAAGAAAGGCACACACCCACACACGATATTTTCAGGGCCCCAATGTCAGCAGTAGCCCACATGTGTAACTCATTCGAGCGCGCTTCTCAGAACAAGATTCGCATTTCATCTACATCTCACGAACGTAGCCACGACAGTTGTCTTTCAATGAGAGAAACATTGAGCTGAAGGGAACGTTGAGTACCGTGTGTCCGGGCGAGGGACCCCACTCATCGCCCGCCGACCGGCTGCGTTAGGGCGTCGCCCCACTCACCGATGGATGGGATGACCGAGACGCGGTTCTGGTAGATGGGCCCCTCCCCGGCGGCGGCGCGCGGGGTGGGCGGGCTGACCGAGTCCCGCGGCGGTATGGGCGGCCCGGTCTGCTCCGTCTGCCGGCCACAGGTGCCACCACACGTCACCGGCCGCCGCCACCGTTGCGAGCGCATGACGGCCGCGCCACGGGCCGCTGACATGTGGCCATCATGGTCCGATCGCCACGATGCGACATCCATATACGCCGGTCATGAGATTTGCTAGGCACCGACCTGACGCCAGGCGATCAGTCATCAGGTAACACCGATTCTTACACTGCAACGACCGAGCTACGCGGACATGAAGCCGTGGCACCAGCCCATCACAGGCCAGAGAGAACGAAAACGACAGCAGAGTTGCGGCGCCGTGCTCTGCTGGGTTGTACCGCAGTGCCATCTCTCGCCGCCCCGCTGACTCTGACCGGCGGCGTCCGGTGCGCGGCTGGCTGGGCTCGGGCCGCGCCCTACCTGCGCTGTCCGCTGCTGGGGCGCCGGCAGGTTGGCGTAGACGGGCTCCGGATGCGCCGGCCGGCGGCTCACCGGCTCCGGCGACGTCTCGCGGCTCGACTCCGAGTCGGCTTCGGCCTGCGCACGGCCGGCCGCGGCCCACGGAGCGCGTTTAGAGGGCGCCGACAGCGGCGGCGGACATGCCGGGGACCGGCCGGCCGCCGCCCCCGCCTCGCCCCGTCAGAGACCGCCCGCCGCCCCCTGCCCGCCTCCACTCGCTTTCGCAAAGTTTTGTCTCGGATGCTGGTGTTTTCAAATGGCGATAATGTCGAGCAGTCCACAAGCTGCGAAATATTGATTTGTGGGATTGAACGGCGTGCCGCCATCTTTGGCCAATCAGCGCCGCGGTGAAGCCGATGGTGGCGCGGACGGCAAAACTGGCGCCCACCGCCAGTCTCCGACCCACGACGGGCCGCGAACATTCGTGGGAGAACGCTCCACCGACTGCTCAGCCCGGACCGAAAAGTCGTGATTCTTTTAATGCATCCACCCTCGTAAAGAGGCAGCCTGCGCTGTCCGAAAGCGGCGAGCGGGGTGGGCGGGCAGGGCGGGGTTGGGCGGGGCCGGGAGAGGCGCGGAAGGAGGGGCGGCCGTCGGTCCCCCGTGCGTGCAGCAGGCACCTCAGTGCAGCAGAGCATTCCCCACGACACAAACTGCACACGCCGGCCATGCTGCGTCGCCGGCCATGCGTCAGGAAGGTGGCGCGTCACCCACGTGCCGCGAGACCGTCCCACCCCCAATCCGCCGCCGTCGCCGCCGCCGCGTGGCCGGCGACGACCGACGGTCACATTCAGTCAAGCCCTCGCGAACGCGCTCAAACGCCCTTACAAAGGTGGACTCAAAGTGCGCATGATGAGGCTGGGTTCATCCATCACAGTTTTTAGCATGTCATTACATGAAGGTCCCACGACGGAGTCAGGCACGGTGAGGCGCGGAGCACAAACGCCAACATCGCCAGATGTGCTGCTCTCAGTCCGCCGGTGTGAGTGAAGCCAACCCAATGGTAAGTCCAGTCCAACCACTCCCCAGAGCAGTTCATTTGGATCAGAACCTCACGCTTCAAGCCAACGACACAACAGGCAAGGCCCATGCTGCGACTCAGTGGTGCCGTCGCCCGGGTGGGACGGGGCGCCGCCGAGCCCCGCCGCCGCACGGGCAGCGCGCCGCCTCACCGTCTGCTGGTCGTAGCTGAGCAGCTGCTTCGACGGCGGCAGCTGGGCGTGGAAGTCGATCTTGTTGATCCACTCCTGCAGCTGCTCCTCGCTCTCCGTCGCAAACAGGTACTCAGAGCCATCTGTTGGCGACACGCTGCAGCGGGCCACAACCAGAGGTCAGTCCGTCCTCCCGGGGATGCGCTGACGCTGGTCACGACAGTTTCCATCACTAAAAGGAAGTCCCTAAACGCAGGTGGTTTGTTCACCGGGAAAGACACATGGCAGGTGCTGGCAGATTCCGGATAGCGATGCTGTGCAACGACCGCCTGGGATCATACGCAGCGCAGTTTGATTCAGTCCTGGACAACAAGGTTTCAAACACTATCACACAGCACAGGGAATGCGTCACTCCGACTTCCACTCCATATTCTCATCACACTCGGCCGAATATCAGATTCACCCACAAGATGCCTGTAACGCGGTTTCATCCGAGTTATGCATCCTTTCCTTCTGTCCTCTATCACAGCTCTATCCTGAATTCTGGCAGCGCTCCATTTACCCGGGGCAAGCTGCACGCCTCAGCCGTGAGCGGGCTCAAGGGTTCCCTGGCGGGAGCCCCGTCACAACGGCCGCACACAGCCCGCAGAGGAGCTCCTGTGTGGGGTAAGTATCGCTAGTGGAGGACCCCCAAATGCAGTTGGTGTTGTCCCACCGCTCTCCACTCTCCTTCGTCACATAGCTCTGAAATTGTCATTGCTGCCCAACGAGGCTCCAATCCAAACAAAGACACTCAACTTCACATCACTCAGCTGCCTGGCACCGAATGTGCCAGTCCAAGCAGACCCACCGAAACACATTCTTCTTCTTGGTGTAGTTGACCGCTCGCTCGCAGCGGGCCTGGAAGAGGATCAGCGGCGACGCCGCCGCCTTGCTGTTGGCGAAGTCGTCCACGTCCTTGAAGAAGCAGAGCAGCTGGCCGCACAGCACTGGCGAGCAGGACACGCGACGTCAACAACGGGGCTCCCATCGTCACGGACAGCGCGTTCAGGGACCAGTGACACGCTCAAACCCTTTCCAGGGACCAGGCGAATACGGGTATTCAGGGACCGCTGACATAGCTGACGAGCGCAGCACGAGCGCAGATCGCCGGGTGCCACCTCACCTGTGTAGTAGGTCTTCCAGCTGCGGATTGTGGCCTTCTTGCCACCGCTCTGCAGCTCTTGCTTGCGCTCCAGCACGCCGTCCACCTCGACTGGCGGCAGGTTCTGCACCTCCTCCAGCTTCTTGACCTTGCGGAAGCTCTGCGTGCGACGCCGCGTGGTGAAGCTGGGCGTCCGCTTGGCCTTCTTGTTCTCCGTCTTCATGCTCTCGGCCCGCTTCACATCGCCTGGGGCGACGGGCGGCGGGTCAGAGGTCAGGAGGAAGGACAGACAGTCCAGAGCTCGGCAGTGAGAGGTCAGAGCTCGGCAGTGACAGGTCAGAGTGAGGCGGATCGGAGATCAGAGAGCGCACACAGTTGAGACTTCGGCAGTGAGAGGTCAGAGTGAGGCGGATCAGAGGTCAGGGAGCGCACACAGTTCAGAGCTCGGCGGTGACAGTTCACAGCTCGGCAGTGAGAGGTCAGAGTGAGGCGGATCAGAGATCAGAGAGCGCAGACAGTTGAGACTTCGGCAGTGAGAGGTCAGAGTGAGGCGGATCAGAGGTCAGGGAGCGCACACAGTTCAGAGCTCGGCGGTGACAGTTCACAGCTCGGCAGTGAGAGGTCAGAGTGAGGCGGATCAGAGATCAGAGAGCGCAGACAGTTGAGACTTCGGCAGTGAGAGGTCAGAGTGAGGCGGATCAGAGGTCAGGGAGCGCACACAGTTCAGAGCTCGGCGGTGACAGTTCACAGCTCGGCAGTGAGAGGTCAGAGTGAGGCGGATCAGAGATCAGAGAGCGCAGACAGTTGAGACTTCGGCAGTGAGAGGTCAGAGTGAGGCGGATCAGAGGTCAGGGAGCGCAGACAGTTGAGACCTCGGCGGTGAGAGGTCAGAGTGAGGCGGACCAGAGGTCAGGGAGCGCAGACAGTTCAGAGCCCGGCGATGAGAGGTCAGAGTCACGACCGGGAGACAGGTCAGGTTCGCGGTCACGGTGGGGCCTTGAGGATGCGACGAGCTCGACCCTGGGCGACGGACCGCCAGCCCTCTGCTGGCTATTGTACCGCGCCGCTTCAAGGTGGCCTCACGTTCCAATAAACCGATCAAACTGACGAGATTTAACTACAGCATGACATCAAGGACTATCCATGCGACGAGTGGAAGGGCTTCAGACGTCTTGAAGTTAACCACGTTAAAGCGTTACTTTTTACGCCTAATAATTCTAGCAACTCTAAAAAAAAGCATACGAGAAACACCGGACAGTCAGCGTGCGAGTCACGATGGCAGGGAGACTACCGTGCCGACAACAACAATAACGTGCGTTGCATCGTCCTGATCAAGCGCGCGCTCCAAGCGTGTGTTCACACACAACGACGGGGCATAAACGAACAAGGCGTCTAATCCAAGAGCCTGGCGGTCCAACCGGCGCACAGTTTGACAGCGAGGCGAACAAAGGGCCGAGTCTCAACAGCCGCGTCTACTGTCGGCGCCGACAGTGCGGGCATGTCCGACCCGTCCTGGACCGCTCCTCCGCACACACCGACCGGCTCAGGAATCAAGCCGTTCCGCTAGTGTAGCGAGGGCGGTGCGCCGACGCGCGGGGCGGGCGACGGCGCTGCCTTCAGTGCCCCAAACTGAGGTCAGGAGAGCCGAGCGCATGTACATCTAGTCTGAGGGGGGCAGACACCGCGAGAGCGGCTGCAGTGGCTCGTACGGTCCCAGTGGTCTGTGCGGTCCCAGTGAGCCGTACGGTCCCCCGGTCCGCAGGGTCCCACTGGTCCGTACGGTCCCATGGTCCCACACGGCCAGGGTCTGTCCAGTCCCAGGGTACGGGCAGTACCCAGGTCTGCCCAGTCCCAGGGTACGGGCAGTACCCAGGTCTGTCCAGTCCCAGGGTACGGGCAGTACCCAGGTCTGCCCAGTCCCAGGGTACGGGCAGTACCCAGGTCTGCCCAGTCCCAGGGTACGGGCAGTACCCAGGTCTGCCCAGGTCCAGGGTACGGGCAGTACCCAGGTCTGCCCAGTCCCAGGGTACGGGCAGTACCCAGGTCTGCCCAGTCCCCAGGGTACGGGCAGTTAACCCAGGTCTGGCCCAGTCCCAGGGTACGGGCAGGTACCCAGGTCTGCCCAGTCCCAGGTCGGGGCAGTACCCAGGTCTGCCCAGTCCCAGGGTACGGGCAGTACCCCAGGTCTGCACCCAGTCCCAGGGTACGGGCAGTACCCAGGTCTGCCCAGTCCCAGGGTACGGGCAGTACCCAGGTCTGCCCAGTCCCAGGGTACGGGCAGTACCCAGGTCTGCCCAGTCCCAGGGTACGGGCAGTACCCAGGTCTGCCCAGGTCCAGGGTACGGGCAGTACCCAGGTCTGCCCAGTCCCAGGGTACGGGCAATACCCAGGTCTGCCCAGGTCCAGGGTAAGGGCAATACCCAGGTCTGAACGGTCCCGTGGCGCGTAAGGCACCATGGTCGGTACAGTGCAGGGTCCGTATGATGCCCTGGCCTGTGCAGCCGCCGGGTCCGTACAGTACTGCTAGTCTGAGAGCAGGCTACACATGCAAACAGACGGCCGGCGATTGGCGGCCTGGCCGGCACCTACCCCTGAAGAGCAGCTGCGATCCCTGGCGGATCACTAGAAGGCCAGCGGCGTCCGTCAGGGGGCGGCCGACGTGACAACAGGGTCACAACACGCCGGCCAGGTCACACGGCCGGGCCGGGTCACACACACACGCACGCACGCATGTACGCACGCACCAACACACACATCCGGGAGCCACATGCCGCAGGCCGGGCCACCACAAGAACGCACCCAAACCATCAGAGGGGGGGGGGGGGGGGGGTCAGTGTACATATGGAAAGAACGGTCTTTATAGGGGAGGACAGTGCACATATGAGGACAGTGCTCACAGGGGGACACTAGCCAAAGTATTCTCTTAAGTAATCCTGAGCGCGCACACACACTCACACAGCCGGGATACGAGCTGTGGACACAGATATATACTTATAATGAATGGGATTGCATTGGTATTGCTTCCACAACATGTATGTGCAGTTATATTCGTGAGGAACACTCCAAAACGGGCTCAAGAATGCGCAAACGACATTTCGTTGACAATGCAAGAGCATAACTCGCAGAGCGCGGGGCGCCTCACGCCCAAGAAGCTAAGATCGGTTAAGTAGCACTTCTTTGGCACAGCCAGTTTCCCGGGCCAGAGGACGCAGGGTTTACGTCACCTCGACTGCAAACGGGCACAACACCACAGGCACGAAAATGACCTCAAAACATTCGACCAGTGTCAGTGGCGACCGCGCGGGAGCACGGCGCGGAGCCACGGCACCTGGCGGCACCAGCACCGAGGTGTCCGCCGTTGGGGGGTGATCACGCCCAGCTGGGGTCGACTCTCACCTCGCTTCAGACTAGAAAGACTCGACTGGCTGCCCATCTTCTTCTCCGTTAGCATGGGATTCTTGAGGAGCACCCTGTGGATGGACGGATATAGCGTGTGTGAGTCCGGTTAGCACGTGCCGTCTGATCGAATGATCAGCGGTCATTGTGGGCAGCATGACTCCTGCCCAGCGGGCATCAACGACCCCAAGCACCAGGGGTGTAACCCACGCCACCGCTGAGGTGGCGAACAGCGCAGTAACGACTGCCTCGGCATCCTTGTCGCCGCTTAGTGCGGTGCTCTATTCAGTATCAAGCGATTGAAAGATACATTCAAACCACACACAATTAAATGAAATAACAAAACGAAGGGAAATGCTTCCACAAGGAACGTACCATCAAGCAATGAATACAACGCATGAAAGGTATCAGACGGAGCTAAACGCAGCAAAAACAATCAACCAAGGTCCATCATAATGCACAACCATTACAATCAATACCAAACGGAACGGCCCCAAGCGTGTCTGTCAGCGCGAGCGGTCTGGCGTAGCCTGCAGCGGAGGGTACCGTGGACGGACGCACGGCAACAAATATACACCACTAACCCGGACACAGCTCTAAACGCGCGCCGCGCTGGTCTGTGCCACGTCAGCCCTGTGTAGCCCAGAGCCCCTTGCGTGTTTACAAAGCTAACGGCTGCCAGGCACCGAGAAGCCGGCCGCCTTCAGGCCCCGACCGTCCCCTTTTCCCCGACGTGGACAGACAGCCACCTCGGGCTCACAGTGACAGAACGACACAGGCTGCTGTTGAAATACCACAAAGTGTCATACGATGGTGACAGCGACATCCCAGCGGACTACAGCTACGCTCGTCAGCGGACGTGTTGACGAATAGGGACAGTGTCACTGAACAAGCCCTGTGCTAGCATTGGGCGTGTATGAAGAACTTGGCCAAAAAAAAAAAACGCCACGCAAATGCAACAAAAAGAATGGGTGAGAAAAATGTGAACAAAATAATACACTACAGAGCAAACAGAACGAAAATGAGACGCACCAAACCCAAAGGTTATAGCCAGAAAGCGCTTGGCGCACCACCTACTGACATCCGTGACATCTAGAGCCATTCCCGGTTAGCGCTAGGTGGCAGCAGCGGCCGGGTTAAGCGTCCGCCGTGGACACAAATACCTCTCAGAAACGTCTGGAAACGAGGCGGAGTGAACGAGCCGGCCCGGCTGTCGGTCGTCGGCCGCGGGGCTGCGGACGGCACCAGGTCAGAGGTCAAGGCCGTAAGTGCGCCCACTGCCCGACGCCAGCCCGTCCCAGTGGGCAGTACCAGCCGACAGCTGGCCCGTCAGGCCGACAGAGACAGAGACGCGCGGGCGCGGCGGCGGCGCGTCAGCCGACGGGCGCCGCGCCTCGCTACAACACTACAGACGACAGCCGCCCGCCAAGGGGCGGAGAAGTGCGTTAGTAAGACATGATAGCCGGCACGCGGCGGCCGGGCCAGCGCGCTCACCTGGGGCTGGCGTCGCCGGACTCGTGCTCCAGCTCCAGACCGCGCCGCTCCTGCCGGGCGGGCCGGCGCCCGGGTCAGTGAGAGGGGCGACACTGGACGAGTACAGGTCTCGCAGCCCAAGGGCAGCGGGCAACACAATGCAGGACGTGTCTGTATCTGATACGAAATATCGGGATCTGGGTGAAACTGAACCGAACGCATCGCAAACCGTTCAGACATGTCAGCTCTTCTCGAAACACAGATTTGATCATGCGCTCGGCCAGCCACACGTTGTTTTGTTGCGTAACTACTTGATGACATACAAACGACACGACCGTGCCCCCACCGAAGCCGCGCGGCCCGTGCGTGAGCCAGGGCCGGGCCCAACCTTGGTGATGCGGTCCACCTCTTGCTGGCGGATCTGGCGCAGCCGCTCCTCTTCGCGCCGCTTCTGCTCGGCCACGCGCGCCTCCTCCTCCCGACGGCGCATGCGCGCGAACGCCTCCTCCAGCTGCGGAAGCGAGACCGGGTCAGAGGGGCGTCATATGACACCCAGCGGTGTCAGGGGAAGTGCCCGATGGGCATCATGCGACACCGTCCGTATCCAACCAATAGCCACAGGGGCGTCACAGGACACTTAGCTTTCTCTGGCGCAAGGTCAGACGGACGCCGTACGACACCAGACGGCACAAGCTCCCGCTTCTGAGGCTGTCGACATCTAACAGCAATAATAGTCCGTACCGCACTCACAACCGATGACCGGCCTAGGTGGGGCCAACATAACGTCATAGGAGGGTTGGTCCAAAATCGCTGGGCTGGACGTCTATTGAGTAACAGATTGTCCTGCTGATGGGTTTAGAGAAGATGGACGCCTTCTGCCTATGCTTAACATCACTTGCACTCGTCAAGCCAAGAGCACCAACCAACCGAGGTATGTTGTGCTGCGAGCAGCGCGGGAGAGGCGCCACGTCGCCTGCGCCGGCGCACTCACCAGCGTGGTGCGCTTGAGCGCGTCGAACTTGTCCTCCTGCGACTCGATGGTCTTGAGGAAGTCGTCGTGGCGGCGAATGAGCTCCTCGACCTCGCCGATGCTGCTGCCGACGGCTGGGTCCGTCAGCACCGGCTCCCGGCTCGAGAGCCACGACTCCAGCTGCGTCGCGTCCCGCTTGAACATCTGCCGGCGGCGCCGCACACGCACACGCGCCGCGTCAGCGCGCGGCTCGGCGGCGGCCGGCGGCCCGCGGCCAGCCGCGCGCCGCGGGCAAGCCGGCCCAAGCACGGACGGCCGCAGCTGGCGCTGGCACAGCGGCTGAGGCTGATGCTGGGTTATCGTGTAAACTACTTTAGGGAGGTCCCTACAGATCGTGTCAGAAGTGTGGTCCACCGTCCGCGAAGATCAAATGTCTGTAGGCCTGTGACCAAAACCGTCGGTTCTTCTCCCCGCGTAAAGTGCAGGCGCCATCCAATCTCACCCAGCCCCCGCGGCCCGCGGCACCAACCTGTGTGTCCAGACTCTGATTGTAGATGTCGTTGCGGTCGTTCCAAGTCTGGCCGAGCAGGTCGCGCCGGGCGCCGAGCACCGACACCTTCTCCTGGATGTCGTTGGCCATGAAGTGGCCGCTCATGACGAGCTCCCGGCCGCGGGCGATGAACTGGGGACCGCGCGGGGGTCGGTCAGATCATCCACCCACTGCGAACTACATGGGAGACGACCAAGCAGACAAAATAAACGTCTTCCACTCGGCGCATTCATCTGTCCGACACAGAACATCCGCGCAAGTGGCAACTTTTCTAGCTCTCGCAAAAACGCACGGATTCGTACAGCACACGCATGAAAGACAGCCTGTATGTCAAGGCAAAACGTAATATGATCGTCGCATTATCGTCGGCAGTCCTGCAGCAGCCCGGCGCGCCGGCCGGTGCGGCGTTCACAGGGCGGCGGACCCGCCACTGACCGCGTCCACGGCGTCCTGTCGCGTCTGCAGCTCGGCCTGGTACTCGGCGTGCCGGCCGAGCAGGGCCTCGGCGCCGGCCACGTCCCGCGCCAGCTCCGGGGCCGTGATCTTGGCCAGCAGCTCGTTGATCCAAGCCCTGCCGCAGCCGGGCACATCAACGTCGAGCCACGGCGGTGGCGGCGGGAGGACATACGGCGACGGGAGGACACGGCGGCGGGAGGACACACGGCGACGGGAGGACACGGCGGCGGGAGGACATATGGCGATGGGAGGACACGACGGCGGGAGGACACGGCGGCGGGAGGACATACGGCGATGGGAGGACACGACGGCGGGAGGACACGGCGACGGGAGGACACAGGGCTGCGGCGGGAGGACACAATGCGCATCGGCTGCAAAAGCGCGAGATGTCCCGTGTCCAGAGAACTGGACACGGGCGACGGCGCATCACGCCGCAGATGCCGTTCAAACTTAAAGGAGTGCGCGTGTAGGGGAGGGGGAGGGGCAGCCTTCACGGTGTTGCCGCGCTAGCTGACCGCGCAATCCGACTGGAGTTCATGACGCGCTACGGCAGATGTGCCGCATGATGAGTTAGTCACAAAACACCACCTAAATCACGCACTGAAAAGCTGGGTCACCACTCACATGAGATCCCTGTACTCGTCAAAGTAGGCCTGGATGTCAGCAGCCTGCTCGAGCTTGTCCTTCCTCTGGGCCGACTTGTCCAGCAGGTCGTTCCACGCCTGCACCGTGTCCTCGTGCTTGACGCTGATGTGGTCGCGCGCGTCCGGGAACTGCGCCGCCAGACGCTTGGCTTCCGCCACTACTTGCTCCACCTGCCGGACACGGACGGAATCACCAGAGGTCAACACGCGCCTGTGCGACCGGCCGTGGTGGCGCGGCACCGTCCGAGCGGAGGCTGGGCGCACACTGACACGCCATCGGGCCCTGTCCACCCTGCTCTGCCCTCGAAAGGGCGGACACAGCGCTGGCCGTGTATCAGCCGCTGTCGACAAGCATAGCACATTCAAGCACAGTGACCGGTTGAAATCACACCGCTCCATCGCTGGCCATGACAGCAATGTTTCCGCTCGGCCCTCCTGACAGGCCCAGCGTCTGCCTGGACAGGACCGCACTCGCTCATCAGACAGAACGGAGTCTGTCATTACCAGCTCATGTGACGGCCACACACTCTCTCCCCATACGCGCTGCTCAAGAGACTCCCGAGTCCCCGGGGCTTCATCATCTGCAGGGTCCCTTCGCACGTGCTCCCCAAGAGGCCCCCGGGTCTGGCCGTCCCTGCAGGCACCAGTGTCATCTGACAGCCCCAGTGTGTCCTCGTGCCCGCTTCCCCGACGGGTCGGGCGCCTGGCCGTCCCTGCAGGCACCAGTATCATCTGACGGCCCGTGTCCTCGTGCCTACCTTCCCACCGGATCGGGCGCCTGGCCGTCCCTGCAGGCACCAGTGTCATCTGACAGCTCCAGTGTGTCCTCGTGCCCACCTTCCCACCGGATCGGCCGCCTGGCCGTCTCTGCATGCACCAGTGTCATCTGACAGCCCCAGTGTGTCCTCGTGCCCGCTTCCCCGACAGGTCGGGCGCCTGGCCGTACCTGCTCCTTGACGGCGGCCAGGTCCCGCTCGAAGCCCTGGTGCCGGCGCACCAGCGCCTGGATCGAGTCCAGGTCGTGGCCGTAGTCGTCTGTGGAGAGGGCAGCCTCCTTCTCCGCGATCCAGCCGATCGTCTCGTCGGCGTCCCGGTCGAACACGTGGACCTGCTTGGCGCCCAGCAGAGCCTGCGGGCAGCGGGGCCGACCGTCGGGGTCAGGCGGGCCGTTCGCCGGGGCGAGCGAGCAGGCCCGCCAACGGCGACAGGCCACCAGCTGATCACGCCACCCAGGTGGCCGTCGGTATCGCGCGTGGAAAAACATTGACACTGGGGACACGGGGAAGAACATTGAAGCGCTCAAGGTAACGCGGCAGCGTTAGCAGCGAATGCCACCTTCTCAACGTGTGCACAGTAACTGCGCGACGGACACACCTATCAGAAGCACTGGCTTGATCTGAAGACCCTAGCCTCAGTACGGTGGACACGGCCGAGCGGGCGCTCCCGGTGCGGCGGCGGCGACCTCACCTCCTGGCGGGCCTGAGTCAGCTCGCGCAGGTCGTCCCACATCTGGCGCAGGTCGGCCGCCCTCTGCAGCACCCGCTCCGGCTGCGGGTGCTCGGCGGCCACCAGCTGACGGGCGCTCTCCTCCACGGACGTCACGCGCTCCTCGCTCGACTGCAGCCCGCTCAGGAACGTCTCGAACTTGTTGATCTGCCGACCGGGCGGCGCCAGGCGTCAGGTGGGGCTGAGCGGCCAGCGCAGGCTGCGGAGGGGCCCGACTGAACCCGACTAGCCCTGTTGACAGTACAACGGGCGGCCAAACAACATACTCCGGCGCGCGCGACAATAAACCAACCGCGCTGCTGTAACAACAGAACAAAGCATCACTGCAGCAGCAGTGTTACCGGGTGCATGCTGGCCAGTACCCTGCCGCACCATACACGGGACAAGCGCGGCCACGCACCAGCAGCTCCACGTGCTCGACGTCGCGTCCGTAGTCCTCCGACGCGGCCGCCTGCATCTGGCCTGACACCCAGTCGGCCGCCTCGTCCGCCTCGGCCAGGAAGCGGAAGAGCCGCTGGCTCTGCTGCAGCAGCTGACGACGCGTCTCCAGCAGCGCCACCAGCTCGGCGTACTGCTGCTCCAGCTCCGCGCGGCGCGCCGACACCGGCTCGGCGTCGAAGTGGCCGCGGTCCGACAGCCGCTGGCACAGCTGCGACAGCTTGGCGATCACCTGCCGAGTGGGCGGCCGGGGGCGGCGGTCAGCGGCGCGGCGCGACTATCGCCGGCTCGTGCGAGAAACGGACACGGTAAGCGAGCCGGGAGCGGCGATCAGTGGCGGCAAGACCATCGCCAGCTCGTGAGAGCAACGGACGAAGCACGGGACACGCGGGAACCCTCATCCCGCGAACAGTGTTGTACGTCATTGCCACTCTGCCGCTAGCGCAGACGCAGTCATTAGACGGCGTTATGCGCAGCTCGGTCTCAGAACAGTCCGCGGCAGGCTTCGACACACAGATGACTAGGTGATGTCAGACCGAGCGTGGCCTGACCGAGCGTGACCCGCTACAGCGTGGTCCGCCCGAGCGTGGCCTGCTCGAGCGTGGCCTGCCTGAGCGTGGCCCACTCCATTGTGGCCCGCCCGAGCGTGGCCTGCCCGAGCGTGGCCCACTCCATTGTGGCCCGCCCGAGCGCGGCCCGCCACAGCGTGGCTCACCCGAGCGTAACCGGCCTGGCCTGGCCGCGCGGAGCCGCTCACCTGGTTATAGTTTGAGATGTCGCGCTCGATCAGGTCCAGTTTCTTGATGAGCGACGTGACGGCATCGCGGTCCCTGCCCGTGTCCTGCGAGGTCAGCAGCGGCTTCCGCTCCCTCATCCACTTGTCCGCCTCCTCGGCCTCGGCGTAGAACTGCGGCACGCACAGGGCCGGTCACCACGCGGTCAACAAGTTCCGGCGACGCGAATCAACGCTCCCAGCCAACCGCCATCACAATGCCCCATCAGCGCCAGAGCCACTCCGCGGCATAGCCCGGACAACGGCGACCCAACAGCCAGCGTCATTCATCTCTGGTCCGTGGCACAAGCCTCCCACTCGCTTCACAACACTGGCAGAGCAGCACCGGTCACCAGCCAAGCTGGGAAGTCCCAACCGGCCGGGACCGGCTGACCGGTCCGGGGCGGACGCACCTGCTGCGACTCGGCCGCGTCCAGCAGCCGGAGCCGGCGCACGCTGGCCGCGTCGCGGAGCTGGCCGTGCCGCTCCTGCAGCAGCCGCCAGCGGCGCTCCACCTCGCCGGCCGCGAAGTGGTTGGCGCGTATCATCTGCTGGGCTGCGCTGCCCAGCGCCGCGATCACGGGGTCGTGCGACTGGATCTCGGCCTCCAGCGCCTGGGTCAGCAGCAGCGGCGTGAGACGGGAGGAGCGGCGCCGGACCGTCACGTCACATCACGTCACGTCACGTCACGTCACGTCACGTCACGCCACGCCACGCCACGCCACGTCACGTCACGCCACGCCACGTCACCTCACGTCAGGCAGGCAGATCGCAAACACGGACGGCAATCGGCCACGGTTGATGGCCGCTCTCGCCACAAACATATCGAACAGCTCTGACACATTACTCGCGACCAAAGCAGGTAGAGGCCATCCGCCAGCCACTGCGCGGCGCCGCCGACCCGGCTTCGGCCCGCGGTCTGAGCGCCGGCCCTGGCAGTGCGCACCTGGTGGTTCTTCTGCAGGCTCTGCACCTGGGCCAGCGAAGTGCCCAGATCGGCAGATGTGACCATTGGCTCCTTCTCCGCTAGCCAGCTCATCTCGTCCTCCACGTCTCTGTCATGGAGAAGGAAACGTCAAGTTGGCTGTTCACTGGATACAGAGGCGTCATTTCCGGACACGGTGCAACCGACTTCTAAAACAGAGGCGACGACAAGAACACATCAAGTGCCACATATCCCCACTACACAACACTACAGCACCGATCGGACCCAACCCCGACCCCCACGAATCCCACGTCCTCTGCAGCCGAATTTGATACCGACGATGGCGCCTTGTCGGGCACGTGGACGGCCTGGCAGCGCGCAGCGGCCCGAGCTGGGCCGCTGCGGGACGGCCGCCCTCACCTGATGAACTGGTGCAGCTGGAGCGCCTCCTCCAGGTTGTCGCGTCGGATCTGCAGCGGCTCGGCCAGCCCCGAGAAGCGCTGCGCCACCTGGCCGGCCCGCTCGGCGATCTCCTCGCGCTGGAAGTGCTGCGAGCGGCCGAACTGGGCAGCCGTCTCCTTGGCCTGGCGAGCACGCGCAACGGCCGGCGTCAGCGCGGCTGTTGGGCCCGGCGCCGGCACGACAGACAGAAGCCGGGCAACAGCCCGGTGGCGACGTACCACAGACATCGGACGTCGCAGATGGACGCTGCTACGGCACGTGCCATTCAACGGTTAAACCAACCCCACATCAGCGAGTGCTATTGCCACATTCCACACTGGCCCAACAGAACCCGATGAGCTGGTGAGCAGGGCGCTGTTGGTCGCGTGAACGTGCTCGGCTGGTATTCAAGTGTTGAGCCCCGGTGCCCACGAGTGCGCCGGCCGCGGGGCGTGACCGCGCGTCTCCGCACCTGCTGAACGGCATCACCGTGTGCGTGGATGTCAGCCTCGAGCAGCTGGTGCCGCTTCAGCAGGTTGGTGACGGCTGTCAGCGAGTCACCGTGGTCCTCGGAGGCCAGCTGCGCCTCCGCCTCGTCCATCCAGGCGTCCAGCTCGTCCAGAGTGCGCAGGAACAGCAGCGCCTGCGGCCGATGGACGGCAGCATCAGGCGGCAGTCAGGCGGCGGTCGGCCCGGTCAGGTGACGGCGCGGCCGGAGCCGGCCGGCCAGAGCGCAATGCCAGCCATCGGCCGGCGTCACACGCGCGTCGCGTGCCACCCGGTAGGCCAATAAAACGCACGCTGTCAGCAGACCCAGCGGTGCTTGGTTCAGCACTTCCTCTACCCATCCGGGCGCAGGCCGTCAGCTGCTGGTCGGAGCCTGACCTGGTACGCCTCCTGGAGTCGCTTCTTCTTAAGTGTGGTCTCGTCCTGCAACTGGCGCCAGAGCGCCTCCAGCGCGTCCAGCCGCGCCTGGATCTCCATGCCGGCGTAATGGCCGGCAGTCATCAGCGCCTCGCCCTCCTGCCGGCGCCGGACGGTCGATGTGACGGCAGCCGCGCCACGCCTACCTCACGTGCGGCACGCGGCGTGGCAAGTCATGTCACACATCAAGACGGGCAGAGATGCGGCACACACACGCGTGCGAGCCTACAAACACACACAGAAACCCGGACAAGGAGCCAGCCTTAGAGTGGAGACGCACCACCAGGAGCTGCGCAGACATCAGTCCGCCGGCGCGTCACGGCGCCGCGGCAGCCGCTCTGTCATGGCCGGCCGGCGCACCAGCGCGGACGTCAGCTGTCGGACATGCACGGCGGATGCTGTGTCCCGCCCCCGACCACTGGCTGACCGCTGACCACACCCCCTGCTGCAAGACCTGCCTGCCCGCCTGCTGCAGACGTCCTCCCCGGCTCGGTCTCACCTCCCCGCCCTGGGCGACCGCCAGTCAGCCCGCCCTGTTCGGCGCGCCGGACAGGGCAGCCGCCCAGCGGCCGAGCGGCGGCGCACCTGGTTAACGGCGAGCACGCGGCCGGCGTTGGCGTGCAGCTCGGCCTCGAACGCCTGGTGCTTCTGGATCTTGGACTGCAGGTTGGAGGGGTCGCGGTAGGACTCGTCGCACGCCACCTGCATCTTCTCGCCCAGCCAGGTCTCCGACTCGTAGATGTTGCGCAGGAAGCGCTGCAGCTGAAGCGACTCGGCCAGCCGCTGGCCGCGCACCAGCGACGCCTCCTTGATCCGGTCCCTGGCGGCAGCAGCGCCGGCGTCAGACGGGCCGCCGCTCGCGCCGCTGCGGCGCCTCCAGCGGCAGCGCCGACACCCGCCAGCCACTGCATACAGAGCCACGGGCGCCGATCTCTCGGCCCTGAGACAACACATCCCGTCCCATCGCTGACAGACTGCATATGTGAGAGGTGAGCTTAGACAGTCCAGTGCACATCACAGACAAGTGCGATTGGCATTGACTGCCGGAGCAGCTTCGGCATGATCGCCTTGCCAACAGCGTTTGTGGAGGTGTGCCCCGCGCATGGATGGCAGTAAGACCAGGACAGGATGGCGCCTCCCTAACCGCATCTCGGAGCGTCACATGTCCAGCCGTCGCTGGCCGTGCCCACGGAAGGACGGCGGTGCTGTGAAGCGGCCGAGCCACAGACCTGCGCTGGCAGACGGCCTGCAGCGTCTGCTGTATGCTCTCTGAGTCGCAGTGTTTGCCGGCCACCAGCTGCACGGCCGAGTGCTCCAGCTCGTCGACGCGGCTGGCCTGCGCCGCGAACGTCTTCTCGAAGCTCCTGTGCTTCTTGATGAGCGCCTCCACGCTGGCGATGGAGTCCTGTGGCCGGCGGGAAGGCCCGTGTCACAGGCCAGACCGAGGCGAAGCAGGTCGGGCGGCACCGACACACGCGCAGGGAGCGCCGCCAGGGACGCCAGGCACCTGCCCAGCGCAGCGCAAACCGCCACCGGGCACCTGGCTGAAAGCCACGGCCAGGGACGCCAGGGACTCGACCATAGCGGCGCAAACCACGTTTCATCCCACACTACGGACCACCAGCTGGAGATATGATTTAGCGTTTTGCTTGGGTACCGTAACAAATGGAAATGCATGCCCATTTACGGTGATGGCAAATACATCAATACCCTGCGGCTTATTCTGCACATGGCCGCCCATATCCAGCCAACCGTCAGGCCCCGCAGATGCGTCAGAGGTCTCGGCGGTCAGAGCGCCCGCCACCAGGCGGCAGCGGCCAGCGGCGGCCACGGCGCCGACGCACCCCGAGGTCGTCGTTGTTGAGGAACGCCTCCTTGGCAGCGAGCCAGGCGTGTGCCTGCTGCGCCTGCCGGTCGAACAGCTGGCGCTGGTGCGCCTGCGTCAGCCGGTGGCGCCGCTCCTCCCAGCTGGCGCCGAGCGTGCGCCGCAGCTCCTCCAGGTGCGCCAGCGACGACTCCACCTCGTCGCGGGCGTAGTGCTGCTGCTGCACCAGCTTGTGGCCGAAGTCCTTCAGCTGCTTGAAGGCTTCCTGGCGTCCGTCCATTTCGGCCTTACGCTCCTGAGGGAGCACGAGCAAACATCAGGCATTCACCCAGACGAGACACCGTACGGACCGCCACCGCTAAACGCGCGGAATAGAGCATATGTTTCGTCTCAACCATCTATCCCACTTCCGATTCGACTTCGACTGGTTCGACTGCCTCCGCCGCTCTCCCTGAGCGCGCATCCCAGCCTGACTCCACCGACACACGCCGGCCGAGCACGCACCTGGTGCAGCTGCAGCAGCTGCTCGGCCTGCTCAGCGCCGCCGCCGTCGCCGCTCTCGGCCATGCGGTTCATCATGTCGCCGACCCACGTCTCGAGCTCGCGCCGATCGGCGTTGAACTTCTGCAGAGTGTAGGAGGAGGCGAGCAGGGTGCGTCGGTTGTCGCAGCTGGCCTGCAGGCGGCGCCAGCTGTCCTGCACCACCTGCAGGCGGGCGCGGATCGGCGCCGCCCGGTCCGGGTACTTCTGCATCAGCCGGCGCGCCTCGACGTCGTGCTCCTGCGGGCGGCCGCGTCACCCCGTCAGTGGGGGCTGTCCCCGGCGACTCTGCTGTCCCCAGACCAGCCGTGTGGCCGGAGCCACCTGGCGGCTACATCAAAAGCAGCCGACCCCAGACCAGCCGTGTGGCTGGAGCCACCTGGCGGCCACACCCAGACAGCCGTCCCGGGCGACTCTGCCGTCCCCAGACCAGCCGCGTGGCCGGAGCCACCTGACGGCCACACCACAGACAGCCGTCCCCAGCCCAGCCGCGTGATCAGAGCCACCTGCCAGTAACACCACAGCCAGCGTGTGTACACGGACAGCCGGTGCACACGGTGCTCAGTCTCCGGTGGACATGAGCCGGAGAGGTTCACCAGCCTGGTCGCCTCTGACTAGTTCAGTTCCCTGATCACGTCTCCACCTGACCGTGGCCCACCGGTCGTCGGCGCAAGCCGCCCTCTCACCTTGAGTTTGCCCTCGATGGCGCTCATGTCCCGCTCGGCCGCCTCCTGCTTGCGCTGCAGCGACTCCACCGAGCCCAGGTCGTTGCCCGTGTCCTCGGAGGAGAGCGAGAGCGCCTTCTCCTGGACACGCTCGGCCGTGTCGGCCAGGTCCCGGTTGAAGGCGTGCACCTCGAGCGCCGCCGACAGCTGATCCCGGTAGGCGGAGAGCGCGCCCTGCAGCGACCTCCACCTGGCGGCGGCCGCAAGCGTCAGAGCCTCACGGACATCTCACCTAGACGGCGCCGCCGCCGCGGACCCGGCTCAACCATCGGCAACACCGAAGGCAATGCCAGCGCTGCATGACATAACTGGGGATTCTGCGTGTTTATACGGGTAGGGCCTGGTCATACATCGGTAGACGACCCGTCGTCGGTGACCCACCTCTGATTAAGCTCGTCCCGTTTCTGCTGGACGGCGCGGTTGTCGCCCTGCCCCTGGCGGATCAGCTTGTCGGCCAGCGCGTTCATGTTCTTCATGCGCACGTCGTCAACGCGCATGTCCGAGTCGACGTCGTCCAGGCGCCGCTGCAGCGCCTGGCAGTGCTCGTAGTCGCGGCCGGTCTCAGCCGCCTGCACCAGCATGTCCTGGACGAGCGCGCGGCAAGCCGGTCACCAAGCGACCCGCAGCAACCACCCAGGCGGTCATCGACAGACTACAGAGCGTTGTAGTCGGGTCACCAATGAACAGCATAGCAGGTACGAAACCTTTTCTAGACAAGACGCTTCTCCAACGCCCGGCAAGAAAATAGGAAGACGGCCGCTGGCCTGCTGCCTCACGATGCCACAGCCCGCCGATCCGTGCGGACGACCGGCGCTGCGGCCGCCAGACGGCGCCACTGACCTTGTCTCGGATCCAGGCCTCCACCTTCTCGACCTGGTTGTTGAAGTCGAGGATGTCCTGCGCCTCCTCCAGGCCGCGACCCGCGCGAGACGCTCTCAGCCAGCAGCTGCTGCCAGGAGGCCAGCAGCGCCTCCAGCTGCTGGCGGATCTCCCGCGAGCTCAGGTGCCGCTGCTGCAGCAGGGTCTCGCCTGCCGCCGAGGGCGACACGCCCGGTCAGCGCGCGAGGGAGATCAACCATAGCTCGGGTGCGGCTACACCGAAGGCGCACGTAGGTGCCTGCGTGGCGCTAGACACGCACGAGGGGGGGGGGGGGGCAGCGCAGAGATCTGCCATGGGGAGGGGGTAGCGTGGCGGGCAGAAGCGGGGCAGGTCCAGGAGTGCGTACTGGGCAGCAGGTAATCATTGCACATTTTGCGAGCAAGCAGGCGACCGTGGCTCGCCCCGGCCTGGTGTCCCCTCAGCCCACGGCGTGTGCCTGACCGCTGGCTGTCGACACCGCCACACAGTCGGGACAGCCGCGCACGCCCGTCTTCCATCCTCACCGCCGCCGTCTGTTCTACGGACGGTGACGCACTACCAGCGGCTGACCTTTGTCCTTTATCTCGGCGATGCGCGGCTGGTTGGCGGACAGCTCGGCCTGGAATGCCTGGTGCTTCTGCAGCTTCTTGATCTTCTCCTCGAGGCTGGTGACGTCGCTGCCGACCCGCTCCAGCTCCAGCGCCTTCTTCTTGTCGCCGATCCAAGTCTCGGCCTGCGGACAGCAGGCGTCTGGTTGGCAGGCCCGGGTCCACGCACACAAACAGTGGACATCGCCGACCAACCCCGAGCACGGCCAGCCCGCCACACACTGCTGGCGAACGTGGCTGACAGCAGACCGCAGCGGGCCCCACCATATCAGGCGCCTCAAGCGGGCGCACGCACACTGCGGACATGCTCAACAGATCAAGCTGACACTTTGAGTTGGGAGGTTCAGCTCCTGGGGACACTTGCTAAGTTGAATAAGCAAGGTCAGAATTTTCTGGCCGTCTCTCATCAGAGTCGCCCCGGCACACCACGGCCGCGGTCTGACGCCGACTCCGTCTCTCACCTCGGCGCAGTCGCGCAGAAACTGGGCGTGCAGCAGGGAGTCGTTGAGGCCGCGCCGTCGCTCCGACGCCAGGTCACTGACCTTCTGCCGCCGCACCACGCACTCGTCCAGTCTGCCGGCCGGCACACGGCACGCGGTCACGTCACCGGACACCACCGGCGGCGGCGGGCACCAGCACGCGCCGAGCTCGCCGCCGCGCGCCAGCCTCGCTACACTGCACTCCTGGCTCACTGCCGAGGTCTCAGACATACGCAACGTTGTCTAACGGCCAAGAACCGACGGCATTTGCCTTTGGCAATGCTGAAAGCTGCGCAGAAGCAACGCCATGTGATATGCGGCTTCGGGTTACTTGTGCTCCTGTACGGCCATCCCTCGTCCAATGTTCACGCAAAATGAGTCGACTTCGCGTAATTGTCAGAAATGCACTCCATTGATTGAAGAATGTCCCTCTACATCGCAATGATTGAGACTTTCGCGAAAACAACCAGCGAGGAGCTGTGAGCGGTGAGCCGTGCGGAGGGCGCCGGCCTTCCGACGGCACCGGGACTCAGCACCAGCCGGCGGCCGGCCAGGCCCGGCTGCAGCAGCCGCGCCGCCGCCGCACGTCCGCCGCTCTCACCGTTGCTTGATCTCGGGGCTGCGGAAGTGGTTCTGCTGCAGCAGCTTGCTGCCGTGCTCGGACAGCTGAGACAGGCGGTCGTTCTGCACGCCCACCAGCCGGTCGAGCGCCTCCTGCCGGCGCACCTCCGCCTCCACCGAGTCCACGGTCGTGCCGAACTCGGCCTTAGACAGCGCCGCCTGCGGCACGGGGAGAGGACGGCTGGTCTCTGACCGGGGTCGGCGCTCCGGGAGCACGGAGAGCGGGCCGACCGGAGCACCGGCAGCGGCTGACCGGAGCACCGGGCAGCGGCTGACCGCGACACCGGCCAGCGGCCGACCGGAGCACCAGCTAGCGGCCGACCGGAGCACGGCCAGCGGCCGACCGGAGCACCGGCAGTGGCCGATCAGAGCACAGGCAACGGCTGACCGGAGCACCGTCAGCCGCCAAGGCCGGCCCCGAACGCTAGCTACAGATCCCACATCACATCCAGACACAGTCTGCACGCACCGGCCAGCTGTGCTCGACCCATGGAATGTGTCCAACGTTTTAACATCATCCCCGTTCCTGCTGGGATGCCTGCCTGAACGCGAGTTAGTGTTGGACGCTCTGTGCATCTCCCACCTCGCTCGGAAACCAGACGAGTCACTCGGTGTCGCATTCAAAAGGCGACCGTGTAACCCAACGTCCTCGACCATGCGAACTCGGAAAGGCGGCAAATCATCCTCATCTCAAAACAATCCGTGCCTCTAATGATTCTTCATCAACAGACCGGACTGCGCATGGCAACGTCGATAATTAACAAGGCGCTCTGTTGCCTCCACAGCCGCTGGGCAGGCCGGCACCAGGCACAGTGCCGCCACACCCGCTCGGCAGACGGAAGCGCCGGCCGTCAATGATAGGCGGCGCCTCACACACCTCCTGTTGACTGCTGGCCGAGTCAAGGTGTTTGGCGTCTCGCAGGAAGAAGTGGTAGTCGATCAGTTGGTCCAGGTAGATCTTACGCTGCTGCCAGGCGCTGTGCAGCTTCTTCCGCTCCTCCAGCACCTGCTCCAGCTTCTCCTGCACCTCCTGCCGGACAAAACCGACGGTCAGAGTCCGAACTGCCAGCACACGGCCGCTGAAAGATACTATAAGCTCTCCTACCACACTACCGAAAATGAAACCGGATCGTTCGCAGAAGATGGCATCATACCACTCCAGCTGTGTTGACAAGTAAAGCTCTCCACTATCAGTAAAAAAAAATTGGTGACAAACCTGCCGCAACACATCAACAGCCACGCAAAGATTGTCAATATTGATAACAGCCGCCCTTTTTCAGACGAGTGCGTTCAGTCGGCAGCCGAGTGAGCAGAGCTGACAGCGGCTGCGGCGGGCAGGCGGCGGGCCGACGGACCTGGGAGGCGTAGTGTCCGTCCTGGATCATGGTCTCGGCCATCTGCACGAGCGCCGTGAAGCTCTCCTCGCGCGCCTCCACCTCGGCCTTGAGCCGGTCGTGCTCCGTCTTGAGCGCCTGCGCGCTGGCCGCGTCGCGCACGGCCTCCTCGGTCAGCATGCCGGCGCGCAGGTCGGCCGCCCACGTCATCAGGTCCCGGCTCTGGAGCGGGCCGGCCGGCCGTCAGCTAGTCACGCGCCAGCGGCGCCTCACGCGCGCGCGCCACACCGGGCGCACAGCCACCACCGCAGCCGGGCGGCGGGCTGGTGGGCCCATACTGTCACTCATCTGACAAAGCAACCGGGCGGCTGCTCGGGGGTCTGGTGCTGGTGACGTCTGACGATATCTTGCGCAGCTTCGTGCAGAACAAAATCACACATCTTATTATTGATTTTAAGGCTGCTCCAAGACACATGCTACGTTAAACCTCCTCCAGTCTCCAGCAATCCAACCAGATGGCATTCCCCTCTCGCACCAGTACAAATTCGATCACAGGCCAGCCTAACCAAGATCGCTTCAGCAGCGTCCTGCCAGCGGCCGGCGTCTGAGGCAGCGCCAACTAGCCGGCGCCCACCTGTGTGAGGAAACGCTGCAGCTCGAGGCTGGCCTGCAGCTCCTCCTTGCGCTGAGCGGCGCGCTGATGCAGCTGGTCCCAGCTGCCGACGACCAGCTGCTGCTGCTCGGCGATGTGTTCGGCGTTGGTCGGGTACGATTCCTGCAGCTGGGCCGAGTCGTCCACCAGCACCTGGGTTACGGCGAGGCAGAGCCAAGGTGAGACCGGGCCCGCTCATCGCACCGGCCAGCGACTCACGGGGTTACGGCGGGGTGGAGCCAAGGTGAGACCAGGCCTGCTCACCACACCAGCCAGCGACTCACGGGGTTACGGCGGGGTGGAGCCAAGGTGAGACCGGGCCCGGTCACCACACCGGCCAGCGACTCACGGGGTTACGGCGGGGTGGAGCCAAGGTGAGACCGGGCCCGCTCACCACACCGGCCAGCGACACACGGGGTCACGGCAGGGCAGGAGCCAAGGTCAGACCGGGCCCGGTCACCACACCGGCCGGCGACATACGGGGTCACGGCAGGGCAGGAGCCAAGGTCAGACCGGGCCCGGTCACCACACCGGCCGGCGACTCACGGGGTCACGGCAGGGCAGGAGCCGAGGTCAGACCAGGCCCGCTCACCACACCGGCCGGCGACACACGGGGTCACGGCAGGGCAGGAGCCGGGGCCAGACCGGCGGAATGCCGCACTGTCGCTGGGCGAGGGTCGACCATAGGACGGGGACGGCTCCGGGACGCCGCAGTAACTCAGCCACGATGCTGACACGAGCGCGACCGGACCGCGAGATCGGCGAACGACCCCGGTCGGCGCGCCGGGCCACACTGAAGGCCGCCGGCGCCGTACCTGCAGCTGAGCCTCGAGCGCCACCAGGTCGTTCTCGAAGCCCTCGTGCCGCCGGATGAGCGCGTGCACCGCCTGCAGGCTGCGGCCCAGGTCGTCCGGAATCTGGGCGTACTTCTCCTGCAAAGGCGTCACTTCCTGTCAGCGGAGCACGCTCAGTCCGACCGCTGGCTCAGACGGCCCACTGGGTCAAGGACAGGCAACGCACTGGGTCGAGGTCAGAAAGCGTCTTGAGTCGGAGCCAAACAGCGCCCCGGGCCGGGGTCAAATAGCACCCTGCAGGCACCGCCTGACCTGACTGCCGCCTTTCGAACGTCATACGGTCCAAATCAGACAGTGCACATCCGAAGCGACACCGCGTGCGTGTGCATCGCACAGGGAGAGCGCGCCATACCGTCCACACCACGCGGCGCGCCGCCGCGGGGTGCGGGCGGCGCCGGCGCGGCGCGGAGCGCTGACCTGTATCCGCTGCAGCGACTCGGCCACGTCCCGGTTGAACCTGTGCAGCTCGCCGGCCGCCGTCAGCTTCTCATCTCGGGCGTCCAGCACCTCCAGCAGCTGCACCCACTGGCCTCTGGCGTCACCATACAGCACGTGTTACAGACATGGACAGCAGCTCACAGCGCTCGCCCCTGACGAGGGTCTGACCACACGGTATCGGCAGGCAGCTTCACTTTCTGCTCCAGCTGGCTCAGTCAACGGAGATCGGAATTCGCCCTTACATTCACCTTCCTTGCCGCCCGCCGCTCACATTAACCTTCCTTCCCGCCCGCCGCTCACATTAACCTTCCTTGCCGCCCGCCGCTCACATTAACCTTCCTTCCCGCCCGCCGCTCACACTAACCTTCCTTCCCGCCCGCCGCTCACATTAACCTTCCTTCCCGCCCTCTTTGCGACAGAGTCCAGAGCATCCCGCTTCCATGTCATTTGACGCGTTCTCCCCAGCAGACCGTTTTCTTGCTGGCCGGGGCGACGGCCGCTACCTCCCTAAGCCCCCTGCCCCCGCTCAGACTACAGCGTGTTGTGACCGCACCGTGTGCACTGCTCTATACAAGCGTCAGGCAACACCGCACCGAGCTGCTAGGCCCGGTCAGCACGACATCACGGACACGCCATGCGTTCAACCCACAGAACAGGCGGCGCCGGTGACGTCCCGTGCAGCTCTCCGCGCCGCCTGCAAGCCCCTGCGACGGCACGTGAACAGCAGTGACGGGTGGGGCGTGCTGAGGGCCGGCAGGACCGCCACATGTCGCCGGGGGTCGGCCCGCAGCTCTGTTCAGCAGAGTTCAGGCGCCGGACCCCCTCACCGCACTCGACACCGGACTGCTCTGCCGGCGTGCTGCCGCTCACTACGGTGGGTTTGTGCTCCGACTTCCGAGACAGTGTTTGTGTTCTAGTTGCGGCATCGCTGCCGCCTGCACGCCGCGTGCCCGTCGTCCGTGCCCACAGGCAGCGCTCGTCTCTAGTGCGCGGCGCTGTGTCCTGACCGCCCGCCTCAGAGCCGGCACCAGACACGTGACGTCAGCCACAAACGCGCACACATCAAGCGGAAGCGCGAGCGCATGCACTCGTTGGACAGCGGAGCTCCGGGACGGCCGGGACAGCCCATGCTCCCATACACACAACAAACCGCCCCCGTCATGCCATACAGCAGACCAGCGCCCTGGCGGACAGGCAGCAGGCGGAGTCCGCCCATGCAGCGGCGGCGGCGGCGGTGGCGGCACAAGCGGCTCACCTGATCACCGCGTGACGTTTGGCCACATCTGTGGCGTCCTGGCTCTGGCCGGGCCTGTACGCGGCGGGACAGAGCAGGCGCATGGGATCACCTCTGGCTGGCCGAGCGGCAGAGGGGGCGCAGGCCCGCGCGAACACATACGCGCACACACCGCCACCGGCGGCACGCGCGGCCGGGCGGCGCTAGCGCGCGCGCCGGCCGTCGCGTGCCGGGTTAGACAGCAGACAGAGTGGGAGAAGGCCGTCAGGAGCAACAGGGTCATCGTTAGACAGAAGTGGATATTAATCCGTCGTTATCGGATGAGCCCGGTCATCCCACCAGCAAGCCAACCGGAACAGTCGCCGCGACTAAGTGGATGCGAACAAGAGTATAATGAAGGAGATCCCGGAAAACATGCGCGACAACGGCACGGCGTTCGACGAAAGTACCCAGAGCGCCGACCGGACGACTGTTAACAAAGGTCCTACGAACAACACAAATGCAACAGTCCGCTTGCGACCCGGGGAAGCTCCAACATGAATGAATATAAACCAAACCAAATCTGTAGAAATGTCTAAATCAGCGCTTCCGTCGAACGTTCGGCCGACGGAAGACCCGCTGAGACCCACACCTGACCGGACGGGTGGGGGTGAGGGGGGGGGGGGGCGGCAACTCCGTCTCCTCTCTGGCGACACCGCTCTCGTCCCCTCCCCGATGGCACCGGTCTCATCCCCTCCCCAGCGACACCAGTCTCGTCCCCTCCCTGCCGACACCGGTCTCGTCCCTTCCCTCACCACACCGGTCTCGTCCCATCCCCGATGGCGCCGGTCTCATCCCCTCCCTGGCGGTGACGCCGGTCTCGTTTCCTCCCCGGCGACACCGGTCTCGTCCCCTCCCCGGCGGCGCCGGTCTCGTCCCCCTGCCCGGCGTCGCGGCCGGCTCACCTCAGCTGGTCCTGGCGCCGGTCCATGTCCGCTGCGTACGGGTTCTCGCTGGCGATCAGCTTCCTGGCCAGCTCGTCACACTGATTGAAGCGCTCCGAGCCCGCCTCCACGCGGTGCTTCAGATCCTCAAACTTGTTGCGCAGGATCTAGGACGGCGGCCGAGCACAGAGGTCGTCAGGGGCATCCCCAGTCACGCGCCACACAAATCTAGAGCGCTATCCGACCACCGCCCAGCGCGTCGTGCTCCAAACTTTTGGTCGCGTTTAACGTTGTGTCGTAACGGCTGCAAACTGACCTTACAGCAGCCTGACATCCACGCGCTCCGAGCTGAACATACGGTCGTGAGCTGTAGGTCGAATGGCCTTCCTTTGATTTGTATTTGTATTCTGCCTGCTTGACAGCCATACACGAGGTGGCTTTTCAGGTTTAGGCTCGTTAAAACGTTCGTTAATTTCGGGTCGTTACATCAATGCCTTACTCGTTACGCCACACTACAAAAAAACAACATAGCAAACGATGCTATGAAACATGTTATAAAATATAATACTACGAACTAGACTATCAAATATGAGAACCTAAAGTAATATAGGCAGATTCAAGGCATTCTCAATCCTTGTATGCAGAATTTCCAGTCGGATGATAGTCCAAATTTTTAAGATTCTGACGCGATACAAACTGATTCCGAATTAACCTCGCGCGTACTTAGACTGACAGAGCCATGAGTGCCCGCGCCGTCCGGGTCGGCTGGCACACGCCGCGCACCGCCCGCAGCTTACCAGCAGGTGTTCGTAGTCCTGGCCGTAGTCGTCGCTGGCAGCCGCCTGCAGCTGGTCGGCGATCCAGCGCTCCAGGTCGTCGCTCTCCCGGAAGTACTCGTGCCGGTGTTTGCTGTCGACGAGCCGCTGGCGGCGCTGGGTGGCCAGCCGCTGCGTGTCCTGACCGCCGACACCGACACCCGTCACGTCACGCACGCGGCACGGACCGGGAGCGGCGACGGGGGGGGGGGGGGGGCGCCACGCGCCACGGACGAGGGGACGGCATGCGCCACGGCAGAGCAAACAACTGGCCGGCGGCGATCCGCGTCGAGGACACAAGTTGGCACATGTCACCAACACAGGGTCTACCCATGTCATTCGCTCAGTCTGGCCAGCGCCGTTCTGCGACCAGCTGTGACGCGGCGGGGCCGCCAAACCGTGCAGCCGCCCGGTCTGGCGGGCGGCAGCCGTCGTCAGCGACTCACCTTCAGCTGCTGGTTGATGAGGTGCTGGCGCTGCTGGATCATCTTGGCGTCCGGGTGACTGGACTTGACCATGGTGTCAGCTACTGAGCTCATCTCTTTGACGAGGCCGGCGTACGAGTCCAGCTCCAGCTCCAGAGCCTGCCGGCCCGCTCACGACACGTCAGAGCGGCAGGCGATCAGGACGCTACAGCATAACGAACGGACAGCACAGCAGACATACTGGCCAGGGAGCGCTCCGGAACACTCCCACTCCGGAGCGACATCAGGCGGTGTCGGGTCCGACACGCCTGAATGGCGGCGCGACAAACTCATCACGAGTTCTGGCCAGGCCGAGCCCTGCGTTCCAAGACGATGCTGCGCCCCGTTGTCAGTACACCAACCCCACCCCGCATGGTCGGGACAGTTACAGTGTTCCCTCCCATCGACAGATAGGTGCCTCTGGGAGGCCGGACCAGCGTTGACAGTGTGCGTCCCCGAACCTTGTGCTTGGTGAGCAGCTTGACGGCTGCGTCCTCGTCCTTGCCGAAGTCGGCTCCGGTTAACACGTTCGTTTTCTCCGCCATCCAGCTCTCCACCTCGTCCGCCTCGGCGAAGAACTGCTGTGCCGCCAGATTTAGCTCCAGCCGGCTGGCGCGCCGGTCAGCGGACGACCTCAGGTTATCCCAGGCCGTCTGCAGCTCCCGACACCGCTCCAGGATCTGCACAGAGACGGGCAGGTCAGCGCGTGACCCCAGGTCATCTGCAGTTATGGACACCGCTCCAGGATCTACAGACAAACATCTCATGTTGCCTACCTGTGCTTAAATCATTTCAGCATTTCAGCAGCTGGATTGAGCCAATACGATTGGAAAAACCCACACAAATAGGGGTGAAAACAAGTCGTGCATAAAAAAGTAAGCACAAGTGATGGACACCTGCTTCGTAACGGGCATATGAAAACACCTGTCCGTTTCCCACGGTCGCTCCCGATCCTCCATCCCTTCCGTATCTGAGACAACCCGTCCTGCCGATTGGCCGGGCGTGCGGCGCCGCACCGGGGCCGACGCACCTCGTCAGCGTTGGGCCGCTTCTCGGCGGCCAGGGCGGCGCCCGTCTGCACGGCCTTCTCGATGACGGGCCGGTGTCCGCGCAGCTCGGCCTCCAGCTTGGCGTGCTTCTTGGAGAGACTCTGGGCCTCGTGCAGCGTCAGCCCCAGCGCTGCCAGTCCCAGTCGACCGTCACGGCCGGCGACGCCCCGCGCCACCCACGGCACACCCACATCCGGCCACGCACGCCACACGGCGACGACGAGGCCGTATCAGCACCAGACCGAACAAGCCAGATGTCGGTAAAGCATGCGATGATTAAAGAATGTGAGCCGCAATGCCAGTTCATGTACACCGTTCGTCTCTGCCTGTTTAGTTGACAGCTTCACCGCCCTATTCAAGACCATTCAGCTGAGTGTTCCCACAGCATCCACGATAGAGTTTACACATGTCACGAGCTTGACATACTGCACAGTCGTCTGACACCCCATCCGGCGGTGTTCACAACCCCACCAGACGGGCGTGCGACGGCCAGCTGCCATGCCCGGCGTGTGCGCGCGCCGTCCTACCCTCGGAGCTGGCTGCCGGCTGGTGCTCGGCGATCCACTGGAGTTCGGCGTCCAGGCTGGCGGCAAACTCGTGGTAGCGCAGCGCCTCCTCCAGCGCCCGCCGCCGGGCCGCCATCGGCCCCTTCAGCTCGGCGAACCTGCCGCGGTCAGATTGGCGTCAGAGCGACGTCAGAGCGATCAGAGTGGTGTCAGAGCTGTCAGAGCAACCAGAGCGGCGTCAGAGTGGTCAGAGCGGCGTCAGAGTGGTCAGAGCGGCGTCAGAGGGGTTAGAGTGGAGTCGGATCAGTCAGAGCGACGTCAGAGCGGTCAGAGCGGCGTCAGAGCGGTCAGAGCGGCGTCAGAACGATCAGAGCGGCATCAGAGCTGTCAAAGCGGTCAGAGCGGCGTCAGAGCGATCAGAGCGGCGTCAGAGGGGTCAGAGTGGAGTCAGAGCAGTCAGAGCGACGTCAGAGCGGCCAGAGCGGCGTCAGAACGATCAGAGCGGCGTTAGAGCAATCAGAGCGGCATTAGACCCGACAGAGCGGTCAGAGCGGCGCCAGAGCAGCCAGAGCGGTGTCAGAGCAGCGTCAGCTGGGCGCTTCTCCTCATGGCAGTCGGACCTGTGCGCTCCGAGCTCACATAACACGCGCGGCAGACAACGCACGCATGCTTAAGAACCAGTGTTCTTAGCTGTGTGGGCGCGGAAGGACCGCAGGCTTACCTGCATCAGCCCGTCCCTCCCCTCCACAACACCGTGCGAAAGGATCGCTCACCTGTCCTTGGACGCGTTGCACTGGGCCACGATGTTCTCTGCGTCGAAGTGTCCCTCCTGCGCCATCTCCTGGCCGCAGCTGACGAGCTCAGCGATCTTCGACTCGAACAGTCCGATCTCCAGCTCCAGCGCCTGCAGCGGAACGTGGTCAGCGCCCACGGCCGTCAGGCGCGTCCCATGGCCTCCGGGTCTGGGCGAAGGCTGCATCCAGGCCCGTCGCCACAGCGGCGCGCACCAGCTACACGCGCCGTCGATCGTTTGCAGACGATCATGAGCACGGCTGGCATCGGGTACATCAGATTAACATGTTCAGCGGGATCTCATATCTGTCCGGTGGGGTGGTAAGCTGCTGTTCTGCAGTTATGCTGAATTCTGGCCAAACAGCAGCGGCAGCTGTCACGGGGTGCGCCACACCTGTTCGTCAGCCGGTCGGACGAGGGCTCGCTGAGAGCTCTGAGCGTAGTGGGCCTACACATGAACCCGCCGACACTCCACAATCCGGCTGTTCTTGCCCGTGCTACCTCTACGTCATCCGCTCTACTGGATGCCCTCCTCACTACTATCCCGTCCACAGGTCTTTACCGGAGCGCGGCTGAGAGCTACAGGTGCCGGCAGCGGCCCACTAACCTGGTGCTTCTTCAGCTGTTGTTTGCAGCTGCGCAGGTCGGTGCCCAGGTCCTGCGACTGCAGCGCCTTGCTCAGTTCGTCCGAGCTTTGGCGCGCGCGCCGTCCAGCGTGCGGTTGTAGCCGTGCAGGGCGGCCGCCTGGCGCAGGTTGGCGCCGCGCTCGGCCGTCAGCCGGCACAGCTCCTTCCCAGTCGGCGTTCAGGCTCGTCAGCGTGCTCTGGATCGCCGGTGTCTGGTAGTGGTCGTGCGAGACCAGCTCCTGGCCCACCTGCGGCCGCGGCACGACTCAGTGCCCGCTCTGGATCGCAGTGCCGGGCAGCCGTGCCAGGCACACAACACACGCCTCGGGACTGACATCAAGACCGGAGAGCGGGCTCATCTCTCAGTCTACGGGCAGAACGCAGCGAGCGGCCCATCGAACCAAGTGAAGCGCAGACACGTCCTACTCAGCGCAGGCGGTTGCAGACAACGGGCACGGCGACACGGTACGGCGGCCAGTCAAACTCAGCACGCCAGTCGTCCATCGTGTTCGGACAATTCCATCATCCCAAATCAGATACCCACAAACGCCGTGCAGGTGCCTGCTCCGAGCAGTGGACCCAACCAACGCCCTGCCTGAACAGCGGATATATCCACCGCCAGGCCCGAGCAGCAGATATATCCACCGCCTGACCCGAGAAGCGGATATATCCACCGCCTGGCCCGAGCAGCGGATATATCCACCGCCTGGCCTAAGCAGCGGATATATCCACCGCCTGGCCCGAGCGGCAAATATATCCACCGCCTGACCCGAGAAGCGGATATATCCACCGCCTGGCCCGAGCGGCGGCCACAGCCCCGTCGCCAGCCGCGCACCTTGTTGAGCTTCCTCAGGCGGCCCTCGTTGGCGCGCAGCTCGCGCTCGAACGCCTCGTGGCGCTGCAGCTTGCGCTCGAGGTTGCTGAGGTCGCGGTAGTTGTCGTCGGCGGCGGAGCGGGCCTTGTCACCGATCCAGCCCCGCAGCTCGTCGCAGTCGGCCAGGAACTCGTAGAAGGCCTGGGCGGCCAGCAGCTGCTGGTGCCGCTCGGTGGCCCGCTGCCGCGTCTGCTGCCGGCGCGCCAGCACCTGGTCCCGCCGCTCGGAGATGCTGCCCGCCGACCACACAGCGTCACCGCCAGTGACGTGACCGGTGCCCAGCCAGTCCGCTGGTACATGACGCCGGCGCAGGGGAGGGGGCAATGGCGCCGGCCGGCTACTCACAGGAATATATACCGGAGTCACTAGAGCACAGAGCCGTGCACATTTACTGAACAAAAAATTCGAATAGCATATCCCATCCGAGTGACTCACAGACCACCGCCTGGTCACAGACTAGAGCTGGGTATGACATGGCACGGGTCAGCACCATGACGCGGGCCAAATACACCAAAAAACAATGAATTCTGGTCATTCCGGCCACGGTCCGGCAGGCAGCCGTTCCCTGACCGTCACGGTCCGGCCGACAGTCATCCTCTGACTGTCACGGTCCGGCGGGCAGCCTGACCGTCACAGTCCGGCGACTAGCCGTCCTCTGACCGTCACGATCCGGCGCCGGACGCACCTGTTGCTGTCGTAGTGTCTGGCGGCCACCAGCCGGTCGGCGGTGTCGCTGAACGCTCTCAGCCGCTCGTCCTGAGCCGCCAGCGTATTCTCAAAGTCGTCATGACGCTTGATGAGACCCTCCACGGCGTCCAGCGAATCCTGGAAGGCATCGACGACAGAATCAGATCAAATCCAGAAGGGCGCCGTCAAAACACGGCGGCCATGCGTCGGTTCCACACAGCCAGGTATACTGACGGGGCTTGAGCCAGCACACCATAAGGAGCCGCACAGATGGCGGGAGGAGCAGCATCGGCGCCGACACGGATGTACTCGGGGCCCGACAGCGAGTGCTCACTCGGGGGCCGACCGGCGTGTACTCACGCCGAGGTCTGTGAGCTCCATGAACTTCTGGTGTCCGCTGGTGATGGCGTCCATCTGGTCAGCCTCGCGGTTGAAGACCTGCAGGTCGCGCAGCTGGTGCAGCCAGGCGTCCTTCTCCTGCCAGCCTCTGCCAGTCGGGAGAGAGCGGCGACTGAGCTCCGCGGCAGGGGAGCAGAGCAGCTCACCAACGCCACGCCAGCGCTGGACGGCGAACCAACACCGACACCGAGAGACAACTAGGCCTGTTGCCACAGACTGAGTTCCGCGGCAGGGGGGCAGAGCAGCGCACCAACGCCACGCCAGCGCTCGACAGTAGAACCTAACGCCGACACAGAGAGCCGGCCAAGCCTGCAGCCACGGACTGCCGACTCGCTTGCGGGTAACGCTTCCGTTGACGTCCCGACCAGCTGGTCGCTCCGACCGATCAGTGGGTGAGGTCCCACTCTGCGGCGCCGGCACGCGCCAGGCTGACGACGGCCCACCAGGCGAGCCCGAACACGTCGGCCGCAGCCGGGCGGCGCGCGCACAGCGGCGCTCAGTTACCTGTGGATGGCTCGCTGCTCCTCCTGCAGCCGCACCGCCAGCTCCTGACCTGCTTGGTGTCGCCGCCGCTCTTCTTCAGCAGCTTGGTGCCGAGCTCGGTCAGCTCGGCGAACCTGCGGCGGCAGCACGACACTGAGACACCCGCCTGGCGCCACGTATGCAGATCGAGCCGCCACGCACCCCAACAGACAGTCTGGCGGCGGCTCACCGGTGACAAGCAGCAAAATGGTATTTCAGTGCTCCTTTGTGCCATAACGTTGCAGTCCCAAGTGCTGCCACTGAACACTCTCGCTTCTCTCGCTCCCCTCTCGACTCGTTCCGCCCGCTCATCGAGCGGGGATCCAGGTGATTCGACGTGCATGTTTCTACGTGTTATATTTTGGGTTGTGCTGTGTGGACAATTGTAATTGCTTTTCTCGTATGTACTTTAAATATGATCATGTATTGCCGTTGACAACATACAACCCATCAAACTGAGGCGTCTTTATCTGCACTATCTTTACTGTATATATGCATTCTGTAATCGGAGACGTCGCCCAGGTTCAGTGGTGTTCGGGAGCGGGCCCGCCTCCGTCCCCTCGTGTCGGCCCTGGGCCTCCTCTGGCGCCGCTCAGCGGGCGGCCGCGTCGCGAGCCTGACGTACTCGTCCTGGTGGGCGCGCACGTCGTCGCCCAGGTCCTGGTGCGCCTTGAGCAGCGCCTCGGCCGTGTGGACGTCGGTGGCCGGACCGCTGGCGTTCAGTGTCGCCTTCACCTCGTCCACCCACGACAGCTGGAGAGAGGGAGGGGAAGAGGGAGACGTTAGACGACGGCCAGAGCGACACGCGCATGCGCACCGCCCGGCCACGCGTGGCGGACGCAGATCAAGGTCCAACACGGCTTAACGAATGGCCAGGGTTGTGACGCCCAATTTGTGGGTATGATCTGAGTGTCCTGGCGTTGAAATCCAACTGGCTGAAATAACACTGACGAATCACCTGATCATTGGCCACAAGATCACACTCTTCCGAGCGAGTCTCCACGCGTTTGATATCGTAAATAAATACAATTATCGCATCACATATCCCATTGCCAGTTGAAGAGACCGACCTAGCGCCCGGGTGGCGGACCATCACTGACCAGATTCTGCGCCTGGTTGATGAAGATCTGCGTGCCGACGGCGTCCTCGAGCCGCAAGCGCCGCTGCGTCGCCTTCTCCCGCACCTTGTCCCACAGCGAGTTCACCTCCTTCTGGCGCGTCGTCACGTTGGCCAGCTCGTGCGGGTAGGAGGCCTTCACTCTGCGCAGCACGAGACGAGCACACCGTTACACTATGCAACTCTGCTTCAAGGTATCGGCTAATACATTATTGCAGCGAGCATCGGATGGTAGCCACTTCCACGTTACGTTGTAAAATGTTACATTCTTTTAAAGTTTTGGTAACATCCTGCATGAGCAGCTTAACCTTTGTTACAATATCACACAGTGACCGCCCCAGTGTGCCGCGGTCGGGACCGGTTCCAAGCCAGGCACCATTGGCTGCCACAGGGCCGATTGCTCCCGGTGTCACTGGTCGAACGGAAGACTATGACATGCCGCGGGACGCCAGGGCCCGAGTCACGAAGACGGCAATATCGCATCACCGTCCAGGACGGGCTCACGCTACTCACGACCCCCGTTCGTCATACAAAGGTTTCGCGCAGCATCCCTTAGTGAAAATAGCAGCTGTCGGCTTTTCGATTTGTATATGTTGTCTGTTGGTTTTTCGAATTCATGCGTTAAGGAGGCATCACAAATTTAAAACTCTTCGCTATGACGCATCAAGAGAAAACAATTGGTTAAAAGTTAATGAAAAGTAAAATGAGTTATTGCGAGCGAGGCCACGGGGCAAGCGAGTCTTCAGCTACCTAACCGGAGGGCCTAGCTCTTCAGCGACAAATACCTTTGCCACCGTGTAATCACCACCAACTATTCAGTAAGAGGCAACCGACTTATAGACGAGATGCACTGTAATATTTTCAATCTAAGTCAGAGCGGGCTGTCTGATCAGGCAGCGCATCTCTAAGCGCTGCCATATTACCACTTTTTGATCACCCCAATCAACTAGAAATAAAAACGTCAATTTTGTTACCCTTATCAAGCTGAGGCACACGCGTTGAGAACAGGCCTAGAGCTCGGCGACCGAAACTTTCAGCGACGTGATATAAGTACTTACGACGGTCAAAACGGAATACTGTTCTGGCAAAAACTGCAAGCGGACTATCGCGCGGAATTGTGCCCAAACCACGGATGATCCGCCGAACTTGATGCCAAAATTCGGCAACCAGGGCAGATGTAGGCATGAAACCAGCTGTTCGGCGTGTGTGAACGTGCCGCTATCTAAATCATCCAGCGATCGGCAAGCCTGTCCAACCAATGGGGACGTCATACTGTGCCTGGAAGTTATCAATGTTGCCCTTTCCAAAACCGGTCCCCACCACAGCACGCTGCGGCCACCATCAGGATACACCAGGCCATAAGTAGAGACGGTGACACAGATTTTGTCACCAATCTTTCACTTAATATTGCATTCCTCAACATTTTCGTTGAAGTCATGAGATACCATTAACTACACTAACTAAATTCACCCCGTGGATTAAAATTCCTCATGGACCGCCTTCTAGCCACATAAGCCAGAAGGCGGCCCATGAGCCAGGTTGCTGGGGGCAGCCATCTGTGACAGAGAGCCGGAAGGAGGACCATCGCCCCACAGTCGGCGGAGCGCGGCGCGGTCGGCCGGCTGGCTCTACTCACGAGCTGGCGAGCGCGGCCACCCGTTTGACCTTCTCCTCGATGGGCGCCAGCTCGCGCTCCAGGTTATCATGGCGACGCTGCAGCGCCTGGATCGTTTTCAGGTCGGCGCCCAGCGACTCTGTCTCCATCTTGTCCATCTTCTCCATCATCCAATCGGAAGCCTCCTCGCACGTGCGGCCGAACAGCTCCACACTGGCGGCAGCGCATGAGCTGGTCAGGACGCCGGCTAAGCGCAATTTCACACAGGACCAGCGGGAAAGCGTCTCTTCCCCGGTCGGATCGCAACCGGGAGCTGCCGAGCTCGCCAACAAGCTTTTGACGTCTCTGGGCCAGTATGGAGCGAGCGTGGTGTAGACACATGTCAATAAAGTGCGACACTGCGACCGCATGGGAATGCGCACGGGTCATGAGAATGCATGGTCAGGTTATAGTGCCAAAAAGCCCAAACAATATATCATCCGTACGCACGACAACGGACACTTCCCAGAAGCCCCTCCCCTCATAATTGGTTGGTCGGGATTCGACTCCGCCCCTCCTGACCCATCACGACACCGAAGGTCCCCGGAGAGTCGCCTACCTGGAAGCACCCTCTAGACTGCGCTCCTTCTGCTGCTTCAGCCGGTTCAGGTGGTCCCAGAGACTGTGGATCTGCCGCTGCCGCTGCTTCACCTAGACAAGGTCAGACCGGTCCGTGTCAGCGACTGAGATTCAACTATCATAGCTGGAGAAAAGGCACGCAATCTGTCGTTACTCTAGACTAACGACATTAGACGCAGTCTTCTTTTTAGCGGTAGGGAGCGCACGAGCAAGAGTCACCCGTAACTGCTCACTCGGGCTTACCTTGTCGATCTGGGTGTTCTTCTCCTTGACAAACTCTGCGACCATCTCGTCGATGGTGTCAATGCGCTTCGAAGCTGCCACCATATCGGTGAGGAATTTCTGAAAACAGCCGGGATATTGTTGCCATCATCACCATCATCACCGCTCATTCATCGTCCAGCCGGACAACCAAGACATGGCACGCTAAAGCATACAATGTCATAGGTAAAAGACGCAAACAAGTGTCTGATATCGAATGCGAAGTTCAACAGCGTTTGCGTCATCAGACCGTGTAATAGGTCAGCTCCCGTTGGGTGAGTCGATGACGCTGCCGCGGAAATCACAAAAGAGCAGCACTGAGCCATCAGAAGGCTTACCAGTACAGACGCGGGGGGGGGGGGGGGGCGGGGCATCTTCGCGCCACACCTGTCCTGAATACGCGGGGCTGGCAGCGAGATGTCCGGTGTAGAGCGTTCACCAGCGCACACAAGCTGCCGCTTTTATCGCTGACTTTTGCCATGCCTCTGTGCTCGACTGTCCCCATTATTTCTGCCATCATTAACTCATGGAAGTTTACGTCGAATGAAAGCCACATATTAATGGGCATAGATGATAATTTTGACACCACCCAAAAGTAACCAAACCTTACCAAAAACGAAGACAGAGAACAGCACGCCTTGGCGGAATGTACAGACTCACGCCGCGCCCCATACACCGTCACCAGATGCTGGCTGTTCTCGGGGCCTGGGTTCCCGGGCCATCAGATCCCCGTCCCCCCCCCCCCCCCGCCCCCACCCTGTGCCCACCACTGACCTCGAAGGCGTGCTTCGCCGCCTCCACTGTCTGCGCGGGCTCGTCCGTTTTGAGGAACTTCTCCTTGTCGCGCATCCAGACCTCGAAGTCGTTGCACTCGCGGTTGAACTGGAAGAGCCGGATGGCGTCCTGCAGCAGCGTCTGGCGCTGGTCGGCCAGCCGGCCCAGCTCGGCGTACGACGACTCGATGGTCGACACGCGGCGCGAGATGAGCTGGTCATCGCGCGGCTCTGGCGACGCCCGGGGCGGGGCGTGAGGGGGAGGGGTGCACCACTTCGTGGCCAGGTTCAGGCCGATGTGCGACTGATCCCGCGAACCTAAGTGATATCACCAACATCACCGGCACAGTGCACTGACCGCGCCGCGTAGGACGTGCTCGTTGCGTGACTTAAGAGCAGCGTGTTCAAAGTAGCACATTAAGCAATGACACACGACCGTACTCCGTTCTGCGACACTGACGCCACAATGCCGCCACTCTACCGCCGCTGACATGCCGAACGCCACGGCCGAGGCCGGCGCGCTCACCTGCCGGCCTGGTGCGCTTCACCGGCACCGTCTGCCGCACCATCTTGGTCTTCTTGACCTTCTTGACATCCCGCACCACCTCAGGCTTCTTTACCTTCATGGTGACCAGCTTGGGCTCGACTTCCTTGACATAGTTGGCCGGCACGAAGCCGTCCTGTCCGTTGGCCTTGCGCACGTTCCACCAGTCCGTATTGGTCCGACTCAGCAGGAACATCACCTGGGGAGAGAGGCGGCGTAGGGTGCGTTGCAGGTACTGGCCAGACGTGCCAGCCATCGTCATCATGACTCTGCAGTCACGTCCGAAGCCGACCAGTGGCTGACAGCGGTTTGGCCCCGCGGGAGGATGACTGCTGAGACCGGGAGAGGGGCTGGGTGGTCGGCAGAGCTATCCAGTCGTTGACGGAGCCAATTCAGATGAAACACCACATGGCAAAAACACAACTCTCCCGCTGTAGCGTGGAGGGTGTGAGTTTGAGGCCTGCGTGTGTGCGTGCGACCACACGCGACTGGAGCACAGCGGGCCCCCACTGTGGCCTCAAGACCAAGACTTTGAGGAGCGTATGTGCAACATTGCACGACCAGACGGCAAATTTTCGCTGTGGCGTAAAGCGTACCAGTGTGGGGACCGCATAGCACCATGGGCGCAGAATAGAGCGCTGCTGATCGACAGATCCGCAATCAAAACGCCGCACCCGTGAAGCAAGGCACACGCAAAATTAAGTGTAATATAACTCCAGCACTCAACAGAGACGTTAAGACTACTCTGTCACTCCGGGCCAGTGTATATAATGATCCAAACAAATCAACCCAAGCTGCCGTACCACATCACCCTGCTGAGGAATCTCAGCAAAAGCCACTCAGGCGGCGGAACTACCTACATCTCCGACAGCAGGTCATCTGCTACGTCCGTAGCTGGTCGGGTCTGGCCATGATGATGACTGCGATTTTAGTGAACGTTGACCATGACTATGGTTATTCCGCGCGGTTCGTCTGAGTTTGGCGCGCGTCCCAAGTACACATGCACAACCGCACGTCTCGTGCCACCACGGTCAGGCCCAGACCACACCTGACGTCACGACAGCCACTCAGCAGCAGAGGCTGCCGCTCCCCGAGGAGGTCCTCCGCACACCGCGCGCGGCCCGACACCATTGCGACCCGCCCCGCGCCTCTCACCTCGCCCTTGGCCATCTGCATGTCCTGGCCCTGGAAGGGGTAGAGCGCCTTGACCTGCGGGATCTTGCGCTCCTCGGTGACGATGCGGTGCTCGGTGCGCTCCACCGGCTCGTCCTCCCACACCTCCTTGGGCACGAGCCGCGTCTCCTGGCTCCACTCCTCCACCTCGGCCAGCTCGGGTGCCCCGGACAGCTGCCGCGCATGCGCAGGGCGCCGTTACGGTCGGCAGACGCACACAGCTGCCGTCATGCACACGGCAGGGCTGGGCTCGGCAACACCGGGCGGAGCTGCCAAACACCAGCCATCGCGCGGACCTCGCCGGCGCCACCGAGCACGGCAACGGCGTCAAACTCGCGGCACTAGCAAGATACACGCGCTCAGGTGAAGGGCGCGCGAGAACACGCGGAAATTCGTGGTACGCGGCCCAACATGCCCGCTGCCACGAGGCGAACAAAGTTTCGGTTGACTCGGTTTAGAGATGGTGCATCCGGTGGTTTTTGTTTTCGAGAGCATGTCTGTATGGTGTCCATAATAGATCACCAGGCCAAAAATCTGAGACCTTTGCATTGATCTTCGCCCACTGAAAACAGAGCGGCCTGACAAACGCTTACGACATCTTGATCAAGAGCTTCCGTCGCTGGTATGTGGCCCGGCTCCCACGTCATTACGCCAACACGCGCCCGCCACTCACGCTGAGGGAGGTGATGCCGGCCTTCTGCAGCTTATCGGCCTGCGCCGCCAGCGCCGTGATGTCGTCGCGGTACGCGTTGATCTCGCCCACCGTGTCCTTGTGCCGGGCGAGCAGCGAGGCGGCGCTGGGCTCGTCGGAGCCGCAGTCGGCCGACGCCACCAGCGGCCTCTTCTCCTTCAGCCACGACTCGGCCTCGTTGGCGTCCGAGTAGAACTGCGGCAGACGGCGGCGGTGGTAACGCGCGGCCGACGGCGCCCGGCTCGGCCGACCAGGCGCCGGCCGTACACAGCGCGTCTGATCACCACGTGAGGCGCGGCTGTGATCAGCGCTCGCGCCGGTACAGATGCAGACACGGAGGGCACACGCGGACCGTACAGAGCGTCGTTCAGAGTTCCAGAAAGCAATAACACCACAGGATGCCGCGGAGATAAGCTGGATACCGCTGGCACCCGCCTACCAGCGTCGGGGGCCAGCCCACGGCTGGATCTAGTGCTTCGCAGACAGACGGAGGAGACGGACGTCAGTCGGCTGACTAGCCAGCAGGGGCGGTCGTCCCAACGGGTTCCTTGAGGCGAGCCCGAGATTTCACCGATAGAGAGGGTGTTCCCCATATGCCCGGAGACGGACGGACGGGCCGTGGCGTGCCGTCGAAGGGAGCTCGGCCGCCCGGTCGCCGGGCCGGACTGACCTGGTAAGCCTCGGCGGCCTCGGCCAGCTGTCGGCGCCGCTGGGCGGCCAGCTCCTCCAGCTCAGCGTACTTCTGCTTCAGACTCACGATCCTGGGACAGTGGAAACACGCCGTCACACGTCACCACTTCACGTCACGTTGACCATGCGATCATGAGCGCGCCGCTGTTCCTGGTACTTGTGTCAGCAGCTCCATAAGGGTGTGTTCACAGGCAGCGGCCACACCAGACGTGGGTGGTCTAGTGACGTGAACCCACTGTTTGCCCGCGCCCCAACAGCGTCAAACGGTCCGTATCGTGACCCGCCCACCCGCGGCCGACTCCCAGACCGTCACGCGGAGGCCGGCGGCCGTGTGTCGGGCGCTCCTGCCGCGCCAGGACTGGCGACGAGCGCGGCGCGCCGGCCGGAGGCGTCACCTGGCGTGGATGTCGGCGCTCTGCGGGTGCTTGGCCTCAGTCAGCTGCTCGCCGGCTCGGCAGATCTTGTCGGTCTTGGGCCGCCGTACCCGCATCTCGTCCTCCAGCGCCTGCGCCAAGCTCGTGCGTTAGCGAGGAGCGCCGGCTGCACCGCACGGAGGTCCGCGAGACTGCACAACCGTCAGCGATGGACTGCCACATGCCGTCGAATTTGAGTGCATTGATACCAAACACAAGATAGGACAAGGGCAACAGGTAGTAGCGGATGACGGTCGGAACAAACCCAGCCAAGAGTCTTGCTGAAGACTTCCTGAAGTCTTGCTTCGCCTTCTCAGCGTGAAACACAGACACCATGGCTGTGGACGCATAAGCCAGCCGCAAGCAGAGTTTGCAACTCTGTTGCACAGCGGACGTCATAACGAAGTAACAAGGAAGTTGGCAATTTACAGCTCGTTGCTCTGCTAGCGCGCAGCGTCCCTGCGAAAGGCTGGCATACCCCGGGCCACCGACTCCACAAACGCGTTACGACAGCACGCGACGCACAGCGGGAACGACTGGCCGACAACCAGGTACATCCTGCCCCGAGCCTGCTCAGAAAAGCCCCTGGCAGAGCAGACAGCTGGCAGTTCTGCATGGGCGGCGCCGCCACCGCTGACACCCCTGTCGAGCTCGTACGGAGGACAGCGCGGACAGCCGAGCCGACGACACTGCGGCGCGGGCGGACGGCCATTGCCGGACCCGCCCGGCGGCTCACCTTATACGGGCTACCAGTGCTGCCACTCCCCTACCGCCAGCGGAAGAGCACGGGTCAGCCGTACAGCAGCGACGCGGCCCTGGCGCGCCCCTGTCCGCCCCAGCCCGGCACCACCCTCCCTCGCGGCTGGCGGCCACCACCACAGATCCCCAGCTCATGCCGAGCACAAGCCCGGCACCTCGCGCCAGCGCGCTGCTGGGGCTGCTCCGGGTCACGCGGCGTCACACACATCAGCACGGCACGCCGGATGTTTATCGTGCGGCGGATCGGGCATCGCTCACGCATAGACCGCGCGCCACGGGCGGTTCACCGGTCCACCTGTCACGCCACCGCATGCGGCGCCGCTCACTGACCGCCGACCGGTACCTCAGCCACCACCTCGGCTGCTCCGAGCCTGGGCTATACCGCCAAACCTCCACCATCGACATCAGAGCCCGGGACCGGTCCTGTGGCCTGGGTGTCGGGGCACATGCCTCGTCAACAGCACCACCGGCCGCACCGGAACCAGCCGCCAGCGCCTACCTTGTGCTTCTGATGCATGGCGAGCACGGCACGCAGGTCCTTGGCGGTGATGCCGGCCGTGCAGATGCGCTGCTTCTCCACCAGCCAGGCCTCCTCGTCCTCGCAGTCCTGCACGAACTGCAGATAGCTCCGCCACTCGTCGAGCCGCTCGCTGCGTCGGCCGCTCTCGTCCACTAGGCTGCGTCAGACCGGGGTCAGCCGTCAGTCAGCCGCCAGCCACCAGCCTCAGCTGTGAGCCGCCAGCCGCCGCGCCGGTACGCACCCACCACGGATGAGCCCAGTCACCGGCAATGGTGCCGACATCCGCCAGGTCGGCGGGCCGGCCAACATCACAAAAGAGACCATTTGGCCATGCACAGGGCGGCCGGCCTAAGGTGGAGCAGCCCACAGCCGGCGCCGAGAGGCCGCCGTCCCGCCGCCAGACGGCGCGCGCCACTCACTGTTTGTACTCGTCGTTGAGCGTCTGCAGCCTCTTCTGGAGCGCGGGCGTCTCCTTGTGTCCGGCGGCGATGAACTGGTTGGCCTGCTTGTTGAGCCGCTGGATGGTCTCGCCGATGCTGGAGATCTGCGACTCCATCAGGCTGTGCTTCTGGATCAGGTCCTCGACAGCCAGCAAGTGACCGGCCGCCGCCTCCGACTGCACCTGACTCTGAGGACGAGGCCGGGGGCCGGGTCACGGCCGCCAGCTCGGACGGCGCGCCACAAACACGACAGCCACCGTAGGATCGTATCTACGACGTGTGATGACGCGACGCGCCTCTGTCCCGTCCCGGAGCCTGATGACCGTGACAAGCGCACACCAGATGTACCCATTCGACACGAGGGGGCACGCAGTGATCCCAACGCCCACCCCCCCCCCCTCCCCGCCCCTCTTCCGTCGCTCGCAGCAACACTAAACAAAAGGCTCGATCCATAAAGCCGACGGATTGTTTTGCTGTCCTCAGACGGTAGCGGGTCGGGAGGAGGCCACGCACCTCCATGTCGCGGATGGTGGTCGTCACCGTGTCGATCTCCCGCAGGATCGTCATCAAGCTAGAGAAGCTGGACAGCGTCTGCTTGTGCTTGTCAAGCAGCTGCAGCAGGTGCTGCCACCTATTGGTGACCTGCTGCTCGCGGCTGCGCACCCGCGCCGCGCCGTGGTAGCCCTCCCGCTCCAGCTCGTCGGCCATGCTGACCAGGTCGGCGAACCGCTCCCTCTGGCGGACAGGACGGGGGCATCTAGGTCAGCCCACGAGCTCTGCGGCGCCCCACGAGCCGCTCTCAGGCGCAACTGACCATTTAGGGCTTAACCACACCAACTAGGCCAACACCACAGCACATACCACATCTAGCGCACAGCACGAGGCCACAGCCAGACAACATGCGTCAGAATAAACAGGCTGCATATCATGAGTTGTCATGACAACATGCCGTCAGAGTCTAAAGCTGTCAGTGATCAAACCGCACAGCTATATATCACCTCCCCATCACCTTCGCTCAGCCTTCGCTGCGGTGACTGTTCGGGACAGCAAACGAGAGAACAAAACATAATAAAAGGCATTCGAGTATCGAAGGCAGCTGTTGCCCAGTGGACACAACACGTCGCGCAGCGGCCGAGGGTCGACACACGGAGAGCAGATGTCTCGCCCGGACGGGCCGCGGGAGAGCGCCGGCGGGCCCACCTACCCTAGCCAGGATGTCGGCGCTGATGGCCTCGTGCTTCTTCACGGTGGCCTCCACCTGTGTGACGTTGCTGCCGTAGCGCGGGTCGGACAGCACCTGAATCATCTCCTTCAGGTAGCCTTCGCGCAGTACGCCCTGCGGACGGAGAAGAGGTCAGCGGTCAGCGGTCGGCGCTCAGTGGCTAGTGGTCAGCGGTCAGTGGTCAGTGGTCAGTGGTCAGTGGTCAGTGGTCAGTGGTCAGCGGTCAGCGGTCAGAGATCAGTGGTCAGTGGTCAGCGGTCAGTAGTTTCACAAATCCGTCCGAGGGTTGCCAAACAAGTGTGGTTTATCGTCGCGAGTCACTGGAGGACCTGCGCGAAAATACACACAAAGTGGGACTCCCGGTCATTCCAGGGTTCAACTGCATAACATCCGGAGCAGCCTCACACCAGATTGTTCCCGTAACTGCTGTCTCTCTATGCCACAGCCTCTAGCGACCGCCATCTACAGCGCTCTGCCCTCCCTCCCCTCCCAATCCCGTCACTCTATCTACTACCACCACTCACTCCTCAACCCCCTGTCCGCCTCCACCCCGTCGGTCAGAGCGCCCGCAGCGGTCTGCGCCGCGCGCGCTCTCTTTGTCTCTCTCGTCCATCCGCTCACCTTCCTCTCGAACTTGTAGGCGAGCTGCTCAAGCCTCTCCTGACGCTGCAGCTCGGCGCGCAGCGCCACCTCGCGCGCGTGCTCGGCCTTGTCCAGCTGCGTCCACGTCTTCTCGATGTCGTGGATCAGCCGACCCTCAGGCGGCGAGAAGGCCGGCTTGTTGAGCGCCTTCAGCTTGGTGTTGATGTCGAAGAAGAGCGCTTCGATCTCGCTCCGCTCCCGGAACCTGGCGAGCGCCGCGGCCGGCGCCGCCGTCAGTCGGGCCCGAAACACAGCATCACAAGCGCAGGGCGCCGCACACGACCAGCTCGCCACTGCTGGAGACATTCCACGGCGTGGAGCTGACGACAAACGTTGGTACGCCGCCGCACGCTTGACGGCCGGTCACCAGCTGCCTCCCCCCCTCCCCTCCCTCCCAACCTCAGCTCACGACGCGTCGCACTGCCTTCCGATCCCTGAGATCTTCCCCGCCCACGCCTACCGAAAACCAGCCGATCGAGTGCTTACTTGGGCGGCTTTCTCCTCTGTTCGGTAGCTTTTGAACTTGAGCAGCTCCTTCTGGATGCCCTCGAGTGAGTTGGGGAACTCCCTGTCCTCCAGCACCGTGATCTTGAGCTGGATCCACTCGAGCAGCGCGGAGGTGAGCACGATGTAGCGCTCCTGCAGTCGGTCCACCTCCATCATCTGACCCACCAGCTGACGACGGAGAGGACCAGGTAGCGTCAGTCCACCACGCGCCGCGCACCAGCTCGCTCTCGTCTCACGCGCCGGAGCGCGGCTTCACGACACCGAGAATGTGTGCCACGTACAAAACACGGCCGGACACGGTCATGCCGTTAGCTCTACAACGCGGCCGCATCGCGGCCACGTCCACTGGCCAAGAGGAAAACGATTAATTCAGCTGCACTGCCGTCGCAAAACGCGACTAATTTATTTTCCCATTTTCAGCAACAGGGATGGGCGCATTACCTCATGGCGATAGCATGTGTGCTGAATGATCCAATGATTTTGTACGTAATCGGCTATCCATTGCGGAAAGAATGACCTCGTGACCCCGTGACTGGGCATGTCCAGGGGTAAGCTGGCGATGCCGGGTCCGCGGCATCCCATCAACCGATCGCACCGACCCAGACCGCGACACCGACTCCGACGGCGACTGCGTTTGGATCCCTAGAGCGGAACGAGCCGGCCGGCCGGCCGAGCGGCGGCGGGGCGCGCCGGGCCATCAGTCCGCGAGGCGCCGGCGAAACGGCACCCGGACGGCCGCTGCCGGAGCGACAGGCGGCTGCCAGAGCCGGACGGGCCGCACCGCCGGCCCGCACTCACGTTGGCGATCCTCTTGCCGCCCTTGATCTCCGACTTCATCTTGGCGAAGGTGTGGTAGTACGACGCCACGTACGTCATCACGGACTTCTCGTCAGGCTTGTTGACATCAATGTCTGAAAATAGGATGGCGTAACAGCACACAGTAGAACACACACGTCAAGGTTGTTCAACAATTAGGTGTCCTGTGCAACGATCAGTCATGCCCGTCTTTTTGCGCATTCGGGGCCTATCGTGCCCTTGTTAGCCTTATTCGACGGGAAAATAGTGCATTATTTTTGCTTGCACAAAGGCAGAGGAAAAGCTTTCGCCGTGGAGGAATTTCAATCGCGCAAGAAAGCGCCGAGGAGGAGTGGTGATAATGCTGAACTGCGCAGGCTCAAAAACAGGCGCGTATGAGTTCGATCTGCAAACAACGCGCGGCTGTAAACAATCTGGCGTGAGTCAACACGGACCTTGGAGCCATTACGCAAAATAGTGAACCTTTCAATTCTGCTACATAAGAGGAGCAAAAAGACCTCGGATTGGCAGCAGTTGGCGAGTGATAAGCGTAGCAGACACTGCAAGCTGCCATTCCGCCTCGCTGACACATACGCCTGCAAACGCTGCTCACGGAAAACTGCGCCCCGAGCTGCCGTCGCTGGGTGGCTCAACAGAAGCGGAGCAGAAGACTGCTCAGCGGGAACGAGTTAGCCGGCGGGAGGACGCACAGCCCGGCGCGGTCGGCCAGTGCTGGCGGGCACTCGGGGTCGGCCAGTGCTGGCGGGCACTCAGGGTCGGCCAGAGCTGGCGGGCACTCGGGGTCGGCGAGAGCTAGCGGGCACTCAAAGTTGGCAACGCAGCTGGGACCGCAGCAGCGCGCTGCGGCGCCCCCCCCCCCCCCCCTTCCGAACACGGCTGATGACATGGCCGCGGGCGCCCACCGCCACCGCGCCCATGCTGGCCATCTACCGCCGCTCACAGCGGCAGCCAAACACTCCAACTATCCCGCAATGGAAAGACGCGACCGCAGGACCGGGGCGTGGATGAAGCGCCAGTTGAGAAGTTAATGAGTCGGGAGGCGAGGCGGAGGAGGCGGGGAGACGGTGTCGATGGTGCTCGGCAGGTTTGGTGGTGCCCCACTCCCCGCCTCCTCGGCTCCCTCAGTCCGGCCGGCTGCGTTCCCGAGGCGCCCGTCTCACCCTCGGCGTCCAGCAGCCGGTGGATGCCCAAGTCCTTCTGGGCCACCTCGAACGCGTTGTTCAGGTTGTCCAGGTGGCGTCCCGGCTGAAGGGCGTCGTAGTCAATCAGGTCCGGCCGGTGGGCGTGGATCAGCGCGTTGAAGCCCATGCCGCTCCTCCAGGACGCTGTAACGAGCGGGGAGTCAGCTGGCGACCTCAGGTGCAGCGTCTGTGACGTCACGCCGGAGCCGGCGCTGAACAAGAGACGTCGGTGCATGAGCGCGGGTCAGAGTACAGCAGACAGCGTGCCAGAGGCACGACACGGGCGCTCACCGCAGCACAGACCTGCATCCGATACGCCCGTACAGAGCCATGGCCTTGGTAATCACAACACCCTGAATCAGAGCATGGGTCCGAATACCAGAGATTCCCTGGTGCGGCCTTCATAGCTGCAACAGCTCACACCCGCGCCCAGACCACAGTGATGCGGAGTGTCCCCGCGCCTGTCACGGCTCTCACCACACGGACGGGCAGGCTCAGCAGCCAGCGTGCACACAGCAGACCGGGCATCGGCACAAAACGCCCCCCCCCCCCCCCAGAAAAAAAATGATGGCAACGGCCACTACGGCGCAGACATGTGTTCCGGTGCTGACAGGGCATGTCACGCCCGTCTCGGTTTTGTTAGATTTGATGTTGTTAAGTCATTGGATTTTGAATATCGGGATGGATTCTGAATTCTGAATTCTGGATTGAATATCGTTGGGATTAACCATCGGAGTTTTTACTGGGCATTCACAACTTTCTTGCTCCGGACCTCGATTGAAAACGTCACGCCTTCCGAAATGCCCAAACAAAGCGACAATAAATCAATCACAGCCGAACAGGCCGGCGACGGGGCAGAAGGGAGGGGGGGGGGGGGGGGGCACGGCGCGCAATGCCTCAATCCAACAGACACGACAAGGCCAGATCGACTTTAGAAGCCCAGACGATGCAGGGACAAGTCTGAAGAAAGGCGCAACCCAGCCGAGACGGAGGGGAGGAGGGCAAGCAGAATCCGACCGCTCGCCACCCCGGTGGAAAGGAGAACCGGTCGACTCCGACCGCTCGCCCTCCGGTTGAGAGGAGAGCCGGTCGACTTCGACCGCTCGCCCTCCATTTGAGAGGAGAGCCGGTCGACTCCGACCGCTCGCCCTCCAGTTGAGAGGAGAGCCGACCGACTCCGACCGTTCGCCCTCCAGTTGAGAGGAGAGCCGACCGACTCCGACCGCTCGCCCTCCAGTGGAGAGGAGAGCCGGCCGACTCCGACCGCTCGCCCTCCAGTGGAGAGGAGAGCCGGCCGACTCCGACCGCTCGCCCTCCAGTTGAGAGGAGAGCCGGCCGGCTCCGACCGCTCGCCCTCCAGTTGAGGGAAGAGCCGGCCGACTCTGACCGCAGTTGAGAGGAGAGCCGGCCGACTCCGACCGTTCGCCCTCCAGTCGCGAGCATACCGGAGCCAGCCACGAGCATAACAGAGCTAGCCATGCCGACACCGATCCGTACCGACCCTGCGATTCCCCCTGCAGGCGCTGTCACCGGTCCGCCGGCCCCAGGCACCGCGGGCCACGGTTAGACTGGACATGGGCTGGACATGGGCTGGATGTGAAGACTCCGGAGCTGACTACGCGGCGACGGCCACGCCCGCTTACAGGAGAAGTCGTTGATCTGAACGCCCTTGTAGCCGGCCGTCTTCCGCTGGCACCAGAGCAGCAGCGCGTCCTTGGCCGACTTCTTCTCGCTCGACTCGTTCGTCTCATCCTGCCGACAGCGTGGGGCAGAGTTAGGACAGCTACGTCCCACTGTTGTCCCTGCCAAGCCACAGGACTGGGACACTGCGCTCGTCAGACTTGTCGTGCCGACAGCAGAAAGGAACTAATGAAAACGCTTGACTGTCTCGCACAAGTCAAGCACAGAAGCAAGTTAAAACACACGCAGCTAAGCACATAGTTACCTAACACGAAGCAACGTAACTGTGCAATCTATGGTGGATGCACTACAATTCTTCTAACGCGGTGAGCAGTTTCTGCTCTAAGGCTGTGATCCCAGGTGGCCCATGAGCCCATTAAAAATCGTCGATGATGCGGTGCAAAGCCCACATTTCGCCACCCCAAAGGTCGACAAACTGAGCAAAAGAGCGGAACAATTACAGCTACATATGAGACTAACGACGTGCAATGTAACAGGCGTTGGCTACAGCGACCCGCACCGTGGAGCGAACAGCCCCGCCGGGGACGGGGGCCCATTGTTCGCGTCTGGCCGCCGCCAGCGCCGGAACAGATGGCGCTCAACACGCCCACTGAAAGCGGCGCAGCGCGGCGGCGCCAGCGTTACATCCGCCGCCAACGGCCTATAACCAGCACGCCGGAAGCCCGGTCAGGGCCGACGGGCGGCCAACGCTCGCCGCCTGCGTCATCAAAGGGATTCGGACAGCCCTCAGGATCGCTGGCGATGATATCACCGGCCATATCGGCGAGTGGACGTGTGGAGTGAGTGCAGGCGACCAACGGCTGAGCGTCGCCGGCCGGACTAAGCACGTGATAGTGCCCGGGAGAGGTTCGGTGAGCCGACACTCTGCCCCTCCCCCTCCCCCTCGTCAGCGGGACGGAGCTGGCCGCCGCACCATATACGTCCCGCGCGGAGCTCGGTATGCATCAGAGACGGGCGTGACTGGCGGCCCGGGGTGCCGCGTGACAGTGTGTCAGAGGTCCGCGTGACTCCCGCCGGCCGCCGGCCGCCACATCCGAGCGGCCGGGCGGCGGCGGCCGGCGCGCCACGGCGGCGTGCGGCCGGGTGGCGCGGCGCACGGGCGCGCCGGCCGCCCGTGACCTTGCCGGGTGCGCACTGCCGGCCGGCGGCGGGGCCGGCCGGGGGAGCGGCGCGGCGGCCGCGGCCCCACCCCCTCCACTCCCAGCCGGCAGCCCGGCAGCGCGTCGCACGCAGCGGCCACCCGGAAACGGCTGTCAGTCGTCAGCCGGCCCAGCTCTGCTCGGTCTCCCCGGCGGAGCGGGGCGGTCACGCAGCGACGGCGCCAGCCCGCTGGCCGGACCCGGCAGGCGCAGCTGTCGGGTCCGCTGGACGCAAGGCGTGGTGCCGGCCAAAAGAGCCGGCCCAGTAAACACAGCCTGTCCAGTGACGGACCGACACAGCCGGCCCGGTGGCGGTCCGACACAACCCTACCCGAGGCGGCCGACACGGCCCGTCCAGTGACGGGCCGACACAGCCTGTCGGGTGACGGCCCGACAACCGCCGTCCAGCGACGGCCGACACAGCCCATCCAGTGACGGTCCGACACAGCCCGTCCAGTGACGGTCCGACACAGCCCATCCAGTGACGGTCCGACACAGCCCATCCAGTGACGGTCCGACACAGCCCGCCTGGTGACGGTCCGGACAGCAGGCCGGCCTGTGGCGGTGCCCTACGGCGGCAGCGGCGGCCCGACCTTGACAGTGAGCCGTCGCCGCCGCCGCCACCCGGACGCGGTCGGGCCCGGGCGGAGGCCGCGGCTGGCGCGTGCCAGGCCGGCCGCCCACAGCGCGCTCAGACGGGTCACGTGGCAGCCACCGGCGCCGTCCTGGCGTTACACGGCCGGCTGCCGACGCCGCCAGCTCCGCTCACGTGCAGTGCCTTCGGAAGAGCGAGCTCGCTCTCCGCCCCGACAGAGTGTGGACACACAGGCGGAGTTGCCAGGTACACGCCGACGAGGTTAGTTTACATGCCGCAGATGTGCCACCGAATACATAATCACGGCGGTGCGATTGTTTCTACCCAGTGTGAGCGCCTCAGAGTCTCCGGCGGGCCCCTCGTGGCCTTCCCGCCCCGTCTCCATGACTCGGTCGCTGACAGCGCCGGGCCCGCCAGAAGCGGTCAGCTGTGCGCCGGTTGCTGGGTGGCGGCGGGCGGCGCGGCACCGGCGCACGGTTGCACACTCGTGAGGCGATCGGCCGCCGGCCAGCTTTCTCCCCGGCTGACCTCTGCTAGAAAGCGCCCGCCCGCCCCGACCGGCAGCTCGGCTACGAGTGCCGCCCGCTGCAGCTCTGCCCGCGCCGGTCTGCTGTGCCGCTCTCCTCCCCGGGTTGCCCCGCTCTGCTCCCGGGCTGTCCCGCTCTGCTCCCGGGCTGTCCCGCTCTACTCCCTGGGCTGTCCCGCTCTAATCCCCGGGCTGTCCCGCTCTGCTCCCCGGGCTGCCCCGCTCTGCGCCCCCGGCTGTCCCACTCGCCCCCCGGGTTGTCTCGTTCTGCTTCCAGGGCTGTTCCGCTCAACTCCCCGCGCTGTCTCGCTCTGCTCCCCGGGCTGTCCCGCTCTGCTCCTGTGCTGTGTCGCTCTGTTCCCCGGGCTGTCCCGCTCTGCTCTCCGGGCTGTCTCGCTCTGCTCCCCGGGCTGCCCCGCTCTGCTCCTGTGCTGTTTCGCTCTGCTCCCCGGGCAGCCCCGCTTTGCTCCCGTGCTGTCCCACTCTCTTCCCCGGGCCGTTTCCCTCCGCTCCCCGGGCTGTCTCGCTCTGCTCCGGGTGCCTCGCTCTGTTCCCGGGCTATCCCACTCTGTTCCCGGACCATCCCGCTATGCTCCCCGGGCTGTCCCGCTCTGCTCCCCGGGCTGCCCCGCTCTGCCCCCCGGGCTACTTCGCTCTGCTTCCCGGGCTGCCCCGCCCTACTCCCCGGGCTGTCCCGCTCTACTCCCCGGGCTGTCCCGCTCTGCTCCCCGGGCTGTCCCGCTCTACTCCCCGGGCTGTCCCGCTCTCCTCCCCGGGCTGTCCCGCTCTACTCCCCGGGCTGCCCCGCTCTACTCCCCAGGCTGTCCCGCTCTGCTCCCCGGGCTGTCCCGCTCTGCTCCCGGGGCTGTCCCGCTCTACTTCCCGGGCTGTCCCGCTCCGCTCCATGGGCTGTCCCGCTCTGCTCCCCGGGCTGCCTCACTCTGCTCCCTGGGCTGTCCCGCTCTGCTCCCGGGCTGTCCCGCTCTGCTCCCGGGCTGTCCCGCTCTGCTCCCGGGCTGTCCCGCTCTGCTCCCCGGGCTGTCCCGCTCTGCTCCCCGGGCTGTCCCGCTCTACTCCCCAGGCTGGCCCGCTCTGCTCCCGGGCTGTCCCGCTCTGCTCCCGGGCTGTCCCGCTCTGCTCTCCGGGCTGTCCCGCTCTGCTCCCGGGCGTCCCGCTCTCCCCGGGCTGCCTTACTCTGCCCTGGGCTGTCCCACTCTGCTCCCCGGGCTGTCCCGCTATGCCCGGGCTGTCCCGCTCTGCTCCTGGGCTGTCCCGCTCTGCTCCCCGGGCTGTCCCGCTCTGCTCCCCGGGCTGCCTCACTCTGCTCCCTGGGCTGTCCCGCTCTGCTCCCCGGGCTGCCTCACTCTGCTCCCTGGGCTGTCTCACTCTGCTCCCGGGCTGTCCCGCTCTGCTCCCCGGAGCGCACCGGCGGCCGTCCGGCAGAGAATGCCTGCCTGTCACAGCCCGGTTCCTCAGGGCCACAGCTGCCGCGGTGAGTCCGTTCAGAGGGTGGAGCCGAGCCAGGTGGTCCGCGCGTCGGCTAGTCCCGTGGTGGCGCACGTCCTCGCTCCTCGCCCGCCAACTCCCAGGCCGTCCCTGCCCCCGCCTTCGGCCGCCCGGACCGCCGCGGCGGCCAATTCCGAGTGATGCAACGCCCGGGTTGCGATGGCGGTCGTTTATTTGCGGGTGTCTCCCGAGATTTGGCCGGAGACTAGGCCTCCACAGCCCCGGCCAGTCGTCCGTCGCGTGTCAGCGAATGACCCGGGTAAATATACACAAACAACAGGAGTCGGCGATATGTCGTCTGCTGCACACGTCTGGTTCTTGCAGAGTTTGACAAGCGTGTCATACCGCAGACAGGAAAGAATGTTGAGCTCACACGACCAAAGGCTTGTTGAATAGCGAACCATGTTTACATGGGATGGTCTGGATGACCTTATAAGGGCGCCTAGCTCACACCAGGCGAGAAATGTTCAACAGCCGACGAGTGATCGCGACATGTTGGGCGGCGTCATCACTAGGCGTCACGTTGGTGTACGGTTGCATGTCGAGTGCGGATACGTACGATGTCGATGTCGATGACTTCGATCTGGAAGCGTAGAATGATGGTCCAGATGAGGCCCAGGATGAGGCGAGGGTTGCCGTCCACGATATCCTCAGCACCTATGCTCTCCAGTCGCACCTGCGGGCAAACGCCAGCGCCGTCAGGTCGAGTGCCGCCCGGCCAGGTCGACCGGCGCAGGGTCAGCTCAGGTCACGGACGGCAGGTCAGCCCAGCGCTCGGTAGGTCACGCCTAGGCAGCTGGAGTGAGCCAGTTTACGTCAGCGAAGTCTGAGCGCCGCTCGGCCGGCCCAACTTCTCGCCTTTGTAACAGCCCTGGGAGGCGGCCGTGGTCCGCCGTCAGCAGGTGATTGGTAGCGCTGCCGTGGGTGGCTCTATCAGGGATCTCCGCGGCGCCACGCACGCCTCCACACGCGCGGTACGCAGGCGGCGCGGCCGGGGCGGCAGCCGGCCCACTCACGCCCAGACGTCACGAGACGGGCCCGGCGCCGCGCACCGCAGGGCCCAGCCGGGATCGGACCGCGATGAGATGTGATACAGACCGGACCATGACGGGATGTGACACAGACCGGACTGTGATGGGATGTGACACAGACCTGACCGTGACGGGATGTGACACAGGCCTGACCATGACGGGATGTGACACAGACCGGGCCGTGACGGGATGTGACAGAGACCGGACTGTCACGGGATGTGACACAGACCGGGCCGTGACGGGATGTGACACAGACCGGGCCGTGACGGGATGTGATACAGACCGGACCGTGACGGGATGTACAACAAACCCGTAACGTCACACGCTGCATCACTGCCCAGTCGCGAGGCGCCCGGTCGATCGAGCGGAGGGGTGCAGGACACCTCGTCAGTCCAGCCTTTCACGTGGCAGCCCGGGGCCCAGGCACACAGGCGGGCAGCTGTCCAGCCGGCGGGGCGGGGCGCCACCTGGCGACAGACCCCCTCCCCTCCCCTAACCCGCGCCGGCGCCAGCGCGACACGAGCTCGACACCGGACCGGCCCTGACGACCGGCGGCCGTTTAGACAGAGACTGGCTCTGGGGCCGGCCCGTCGGCCGCTGCGCCGGGCCGACTGGCCGGCGGTCCGGCGGGCCAGACGTACCGCTGGTCGGAGGCGGGCGTGTGTACGGTTTGCGCCGCCCCCGCCCTCCGCCCGGCTGATTCACCGCTTCCGGCAGACGAGCCCCATCAGTCACCGGCACCCCCACCCATGCCGCCCTCATGGCAACGGGGTCCTCCCCATCTGTCCCAGCAGCGCAGGAGTGGCGGCGAGCTGGGTGGGAGTGGCTAACCTGCCCCGTCATGCAGATCGCGGCTATCGCACGCGGCCGCTCTGGTCAGTTTTAGAAACGCTATTTTGGGGCTCAGTCACGACTGATTCGCGCGGTCGGGCCTGAACTCCGAATATCTACATGCCGATCAAGAGGGTGTCACGCGCACCCCAAGCCGCCATTCAAGTCACGTGCTTCCAGTTCAATCGGTTGGCCCCTGGCATTTTCAGCCAGCTCGGAATGCGGCGG